CCAACAAGCACGCACACGTCCACAAGGCCCTGACGCCTGGATTCGAGTGGAGTGTGCGACCTGATCGGTGCAGCCAACGCTACCACCAGGGGACTGACCTGACCTCAACCTCTTAACCCCAACACCTAACCTTAACCCCAACCCGAACCTAACCCCTAACCCCTAACCCCTACCCAAACCCCTAATCCTAACTCCTAATCCTAACCCAGCTTGATCCTAACCTTAACCCTCCTCCTAACCCAAACCCTAGCCTTAAGAATTCCAGATAATTGAGGGGCATCGGTTGCTCACACCTGTAATCCTAGCTACTCAGGAGGCAGCAATGAGGAGGATTACAGATTGGTGTCAGACCTGGTATAGTTTGCAAAACCGTATCTCAAAAAAAACCCATCACAAAACAAGGACTGGCAGAGTGGCTCAAGGTAAATGTCCTGCATTCAAGCTCCAGTCCTAAAAAAAAAAAAATTCCAGATAATTGGTTTCAACCCTCAGCACTTAAGGAGATGGGCCCAACTCCCAACTCCTTATTGGATTCTGCACAATGACTTCTTAAAAAACAGTGTACACACAGGAAAATATAGACTCAGTGAGAAATCAGCCAGGTGATCACTGTTGACATTAACATGGTAATTCACCTAGAGGACATGAAGACAGAACAGCCCCTCATCCTTGTGAGATGAGAAAAACACCAAGTGAATCATAATAGAGCACAATCTACAAAATACCTGATATGTCTGCAGCAAAATCAAGGTCACTAAATCTGGCAAGGTCAAGAGATTGTCACCACCAGGACAGCCCATGTGAGACATGACGACTCACTGTGTCTGGAGTCCTGCGTGAGTTCCTGCAACATTAATAGGTAGAAATGAGGGAATTTCAAAACTTATCAGTTTTGAAAATGTCATAGTTAACACATCAGTAACATCTCTGCTAGAGATGTCAGTGAGAGGAGAGCAGAATGCAGGTACATGGGTAGCTTCATGCTGTCTTCACAATTTCTGTATAAATATAAATCTCTACAATTTTGTTACATTCTTTAAAAATCTGCTGTCTAATTCTTTATGTAACTTACTTAACGCTGCTAACCAATCATTTGCAATAAGAGCATTTGTGAAGCAAAACTTAAATAACGCAAACATACAAATCAAGACGCTTTTGCACGTTTTAGGTAAAAATAACATTTGTAAGCCTATATGTATTTTTTTCTTATACTGTGTCTAAGAAATAAACATCCAAGATCATCTCAATATCATTTACCATTAGTAAATTGCAAATGTAAAAATAACATGGCAAAGTTATTAGAACTTCTACACTCCACAAGACAATACAAAATGCTTGAGTATAAGGCACAAACAGTACACTCATTCATGGATGGCTATGGTATAAAGGCAGACAGAAAGATAGTGTAAAGCAGCCAGGACAAAAAGCACTGGATTTGCTCGCCAAATACAGGTCACTTTAGAATACAGAAAAAAAATTTCATTTAAACTCTTTCAACTCATGGCCAGACATTTTCTACAGTGACTTCTTTAAAAGATGGCAAATTGTGACTAGATCATTAAATTCAAAGAGTCCTTCTATCTACTTTGTTTCCATTCATAAGCCTGACTTTAATAGACAGTATCAAACATTTCCAACTTGGAAAGATATACTTACAAAAACCTCACCCAAACCTTATAAAAGGTCTGAGAGAGAGAAAATGAGAGAGAGAGAGAGAAGAGAGTGTAAAATCTTTTTGTGTCTGGTTCTATGAATTGAACTCATGACCCGGTGCATTCTAGGAATCCCAGCACCCAGACATACTATTAAGCAGAGGTTAACCAAAAATCATTTAAGATTATCATGAAAAATTATCTAACAATCATCTCAATGAAAAACAGACTAGGTTAGGAAGTGTATTTTTAAAATATTGACAAGGTAGAAATAAAAAAGTTCCTAGAATCTAATGAAAATGAAAAAGCAACCTGCAAGAACCTATCAGACACAGCAAAAGAAGTACTAAAAGGAAAGTTTACAGATACAAATGCCTACATTAAAAAAAAAAACTGATCTCAAAAAATAACCTAATAGTGATTCACCGTATGCAAATCAGTAAATTAAATACAGCATATAGAAAGGGCAAAAATCACATGTCCATCTCAATAGATGAAGAAAAACCCTTTGAGAAAATTCAACATACCTTCATGATAAAATCACTGAAGAAACTAGGAATCAAAGGAATGTACTTCAACACAGCAAAGGCTATAATGACAAACTTACAGCTAACATTATATTAAATGTAGAAAAACATTGCCACTAAAGTCAGGAATGAGACAAGGGTGTACATTCTCCCCACTCTTATTCAATATGGCTTCTACAATAGACACATAAGACAGCCTACAGATTTGGAGAAAATCTTTGCCAGCTATTCATCTGATCAGAGACACATAACCAGAATCTATAGGGAGCTCATAAAACTAAACTCCTAAAGAATCAACATGTTGAAGAAATGGGTGCATGAACTGAATACAAAATTTTCAAAGGAAGAGGTAAACATGGCAGATAGATACATGAAGAAGTACTCAACTTTCCTGGCCACAAAAGGAATGCAATTCAAAATTACATGAAGAGTTCATCTCACTCCAGTTACAATGGCTACCTTTAAGAACACAAACATTTGTGAAGATGCACAGAAACAGAAACTCATAAACACTATTGGTGGGAAAGTAAATTTTTTACATTAACTATGCAAAGCAGTGTGAAGATTCTTTGAAAAAAACTAAAAATAGAACTACCACTCAATCTAGTGGTACCACTCCTGGGCATATACCCAAAAGAATGTAAGTTGGGATATAACAGAGATACTTGCACACCCATGGTTTACTGCACCACTATTCACAACAGCCAAGCTATGGAAACAGTCCAGATGCCCTACAACTGATGAATGAATTAAGAAAATATAGTATATATACACAATAAAGTATTTCTCATAAGGAATGAAATTTTGTGGTTTGCAGGTAAAAGGATAGAACTGGAGAATATGTTAAGCCAGGTTCAGAAAGAAAAGGTCACGTTTTCTCTCATATGTGGAAGGTAGATTAAAATGATAAATATATACTCAAATGCAAACATGACCATAACCATAAACACATTTATATAGAGGACATGGTTACAAAAGTGGGATGACTCGATGGGACCTGGGGGAGAAGAGAGAGGGTGAGAATGATAACAATATCAAAATATATTGTATCTGTGTAGGAAGATGTAATGAAATGTACTGAAAGCTGTTGAATAGTAAGAGGTGGGGGGAAGGACAAACGAGAGTAATAAACGGGATTAATCTGATTAAAGTATATTCACACCTAAAACATCATTGTGAAACCATCTGAACAATGAATATGGACTTAAAATGAAAGACAAGATGGTAAAACAGGTCCTGTTGAGGAGGTGGGTACTTGTGGGGGGGGGCGGTGAAGAGAGAGGATAAGGTAGGGTGAATATGGTTGATGAATTTTATAAATGTACATGAAATAGAAAATGAAAACCTATTGCAATCATTTTAAGCAGAGGAAGAGGGGGATGAAGTAGAGAGATGGTAGTGGTGAACCTAATCAAGGTACATTGTAACCATATAAGGAAATGTCACAATAAATCACACCTGTACAACTAATATATGCTAATAAAATACTTTAAAATATTACTTTAAAAAAATGAGGAACACAGCAAAGTCCCTTACTCAGCTCTTGGGTGGCAGATGGGAGGCTTTTTCCCTCACCAAAACAATGATACCAAGGTGTTTCCCTAAGGCTGCTTCTGAGAAGTTCCAGACCTCCCAATGCACACAGCACCATGTAGTGGACAATGTGTATACAGGCACAGGGTGCTACCCCACCATTTACCATTGGTGATCACCATCCTGACATCATAAAGAACTTCTGAAATTCAAAGTTAATATTCCAGACCATAGTTCTGGACAAACTGAAAGAGCCCACCATCCTGTGCCTCAACCTGAAAGTATGCTGCTATGGTTTGGATTCATGTGTTAGAAACTGTGGGAGACCAGTAACTAAATAGACTGAGAAGAAACTTTGACATGAGCAAGGCCGTGTCAGAGTCCTTTGTGCTGAGAAGGCAAAGCCCTGGCACAAAGGAGGTGAGCAAGGTTCAGCAAGGCTGCCTTGCAAGTAGGGAGACTGAGGCAGTGGAGACAGACCCTGGCATGAGCACAGCTCTGTCCAAGGGCCCCTTGGCTGATAAGAATGGACCCAGCCAAGAGGAGTCAAGGTTCAGCAAGGCTGCCTTGCAGGAACAGGACATGCTGAAGTAGTCAGGATAGTCTGCAGTAAATAACAACATACCACAGCTGCACTGTTCCTGCCACCTACGCAATTGGACCCATGAGAACTCGACCTGCACTTCACCCTTCTTTCTCATGCTTACTGTATAAATAAACACACTTGAAGGCGGAGGGGGTCGCCGACATCTCTCATCATGTGTGCCAGACCCACCTGACCCCAAGCTTTTCTACATGTCTGTCTTTGTCTTTTTTTCTCAATCCCCAATCACTCCCAGTTAGGTCAAGAGACCTGCTCACACTGGCCAGGAGAAGAAACTTAATCTAAAAGTCATATGCTAATAGTATATGAGGGAGACCTCTGGGAACTGATTAGCACATGAGAGTTCTACCCTTATGAATGAAGTTAATTCATTCATCAATTAATGGATGAATGCTTTATCAAGAGAGCTGTTTTATTATAAAATCAAGCTTTCTCTGGAACACTCTATCTCTCCATGTAATACCCAGTATGAACTCAGAAATGTGCAGAGTACACACCAGTAAGGAGGACCTAAAATTCAGAAAACCCACCAGTGAGGATCTAAAATTCACAAAACTTTAAAGCATGGATGAGAGAAATGAAGACAAATGAATGCCAAAAAATGCCCTGTTCCTCAGCAATATAATCATTGTTAAGATATCAAATCTCCATAACTTGATCTATAGATTCTTTAGTTTCGCCCCAGTATGGATTCTGTGATGTTTTCTAAGGCTTGAACATTTGTTAAAAGCTTTGCCACATTCTGTACATTTGTAGGGTTTCTCTCCAGTATGAATTATGTGATGTTGCCTAAGGCTTGAACACGTAGTAAAGGTTTTGCCACATTCTTTACACTTATAGGGCTTCTCTCCAGTATGAACTCTCTGATGTTGTCTGAGATTTGAACACTTGGTAAAGGCCCTGCCACATTCTTTACATTTGAAAGGTTTTTCTCCAGTATGAATTAGCTGGTGGTAGGCAAAGGTTGAACAATCAATAAAGGCTTTGCCACATTCTTTACATTTGTATGGTTTCTCTCCAGTATGAATTCTCTGGTGTACAGTAAGGTGTGAGCAACTCTTAAAGGCTTTACCACATTCATTACATTTGTAGGGTTTCTCTCCAGTATGAACTCTGTGATGCTGAACAAGGTTCGAGCTTTGATTAAAGGATAGGCCACATTCATTACATTTGTAGGGTTTCTCTCCAGTATGAACTCTCTGATGCTGAACAAGGTTTGAGCGTTGAGTAAAAGATAAGCCACATTCATTACATTTGTACGGTTTCTCTCCAGTATGAATTCTCTGATGTTGTCTAAGATTTGAACACTTCACAAAGACTTTGCCACATTCTTTACATTTGTAAGGCTTGCCTTGAATACGAGGACTTTGATGGATAACAAGTCTTGAGCACTGATTCAAGACTTTTTCATATTTTTTACCTCTGTAAAGGTTCTTTGGAAAACAAACACACTGATGATTATTAGGATCCAAGCCAAGGTTGAAGTTTTTATGATGTTCATTGCATTCATAAATTTTATCACCAATATAAATATCCTGGTAATTCTTTATTACACAGCCCTGGTTAAATATCTGCCTAGTTTCATTACTTATGTCGTGTACTTTCCAAATATTTGTATCTGATTTTTGATTCAGCAATAATGGGTAAGAAGAGAGCTTCCCATTAAAATTGTATGCTTTGTCACAAGAAGGAATTGCTTGATTACAGAATGAAGAACTTTGTGTAAAGGAACTCTCAAATTGGTCACATTTAGACACTTGTTCTTCATTTTGAAATATCTTCTCTAAAGAAATGCCTGAGTTAATGTTTAACCAAGTGCTACACTTGAAATTGTTCAAGTCATTAACTGAAGCATGGGCTAGACCCCTTTCCATATTTTCCAAATTTCCTTTCAGGAGAAAGGCATGTTTCAAAAATTGCTGTGGATGTTTACTTATAGAAACAGATGGCTCTTGAAAAGTAACTGGCATGAATCGAGATTTTTCCTGAGACGGTTCATGTTCTTGATCTCTGTTGACAGTGAAGTTCTTGCTATTAGTTGTCACACACTGGTGATGTCCACCATACAAAGCTTCCTGACCTTCACTCTCATCCCCACTTTCCCATGCCTTGCTTGGGTGAAAATTGTCAAGGCCACAATTTCCATGTCTTCCATTTATTAGTTTTTGAAATGAACATGTTATATTATGCTCTGATGAAAAGTCTCGGCTGTTATGGGACGATATAACTGAAAGAAATAAAAATAACAAATTATCCCAGGTGAATATACTCTCTAAATGTATCACATTATAACAAGCTGGTGACATCAGCAGGATAGTAAACCCAAGGCCCTCATTACTCCACAGGTATGTGAACTTAACAACATGCTGAACAAATTGATCTGTGAGAACTTAAAAAGACATCTGTGCATCACAACACCACAGATAAGCACACCACTAAGCAGTCACACAGTTAGGGAAGGAAAATGTTATTTTTGTAAACCACAGTCCTTCCTCCTCCCCAATACAACATTGTGTAATTAGGAAAAAACCTCCAACATCCCCTCCCCCGACTTTCTTCCTCAGGAGACAAGACAGTGAAACACGTGTACACATTTCTAGCTTCCTTGAGGAGCTAACTAAACACAGGTTTCTGTCTATACTGACACAGTCCTAGAGATAACAGGTTATATTGTGGATGAGAAAGTGGCCCAACGGATATCAACAGTTAATGTTTATTACTGTACCAAAGAAACAACAGTACCCGATACAGAGAGCCTATGTGTTCTTAAGAAGAAATATGGGCAAGCCTTTTTTTTCCTTTATTATTCATATGTGCATACAAGGCTTGGGTCATTTCTCCCCCCCCAGCCCCCACCCCCTCCCTTAACACCCACTCCGCCCCCTCCCTCTCCCCCCCAACCCCCTCAATACCCAGCAGAAACAATTTTGCCCTTATTTCTAATTTTGTTGTAGAGAGAGTATAAGCAATAATAGGAAGGAACAAGGGTTTCTGCTGGTTGAGATAAGGATAGCTATACAGGGCATTGACTCACATTGATTTCCTGTGTGTGTGTGTGTGTGTGTGTGTTACCTTCTATGTTAATTCTATTTGATCTAACCTTTTCTCTAGTTCCTGGTCCCCTTTTCCTATTGGCCTCAGTTGCTTTTAAGGTATCTGCTTTAGTTTCTCTGCGTTAAGGGCAACAAATACTAGCTAATTTTTTAGATGTCTTACCTATCCTCACCCCTCCCTTGTGTGCTCTCGCTTTTATCATGTGCTCAAAGTCCAATCCCATTGTTGTGTTTGCCCTTGATCTAATGTCCACATATGAGGGAGAACATATGATTTTTGGTCTTTTGGGCCAGGCTAACCTCACTCAGAATGATGTTCTGCAATTCCATCCATTTACCAGCGAATGATAACATTTCGTTCTTCTTCATGGCTGCATAGAATTCCATTGTGTATAGATACCACATTTTCTTAATCCATTCGTCAGTGGTGGGGCATCTTGGCTGTTTCCATAACTTGGCTATTGTGAATAGTGCCGCAATAAACATGGGTGTGCAGGTGCCTCTGGAGTAACCTGTGTCACAGTCTTTTGGGTATATCCCCAAGAGTGGTATTGCTGGATCAAATGGTAGATCAATGTCTAGCTTTTTAAGTAGCCTCCAAATATTTTCCAGAGTGGTTGTACTAGTTTACATTCCCACCAACAGTGTATGAGGGTTCCTTTTTCCCCGCATCCTCGCTAACACCTGTTGTTGGTGGTGTTGCTGATGATGGCTATTCTAAGAGGGGTGAGGTGGAATCTTAGCGTGGTGGGCAAGCCTTTTTAACTGAAAAAAATCCATAGAAGACACATCCTGAAAACATATCTAAGAGCCTCCAACAATTATAAGCATGGTTAATTGCCAACCCATAGAGAATAGGATGAATGACTGCATTTTTTTTTTATCATTATTGACTTCATTGACAAATTGCACTTAATTACCATGTACATCAATGACTAAATCTAGCTAATTGACACAGGAATTATTTCACATAAATATCAGTTTGGAGTTTACAACACTTTATATCCATTCTTTTAGCATCTGTTGAGAGCACATTATTGACTACAGTTGCCATGTTGCACAGAACTCTTAGCATTATTATGACTGTTAAACTAAAGTTTTGTCACCATTTACCAACATCACCCTAACTCCAACAGGCACAGTGGCTGGTAATCAGGTAAACCATTTTACTCTCTACATTTCTGAGTCTAATTATTTCAGATTCTGTGAGTGAAATTAAATCATGCAATAGTCAATTTTCTGTGTCTGGCTTATTATACTTAATGTAAAGTCCCGCATGCTTGCTGATATTACTTTAAATTGCAATACATTCTCTTTTGTATAGCTGAATAGTACTGTGTTGTGTACATATATATATACACACCATATGTTTTCTTTCATTCAGCCATGGAGGGCTGCTTAAATTGATTCTATCTTTTGGCCATTGTAAACAATGCTGAACTGAACATGGAAGTGGAAATGTCTCTTCAATGCACTGATTTAGTTTCTTTCACTATATGTTCAGTAGTGAAACTGATGAATCCTATGGTCATTCTATGTCTAGTTTTTTTATGGAAATGTAGTAATTTCCACAGTTCATATAATCATATGAACCTGCTGTTGGCAGGTTTGTAAATAAACGAATTTAACACAGCATGCAAAGGAAAAGGGAACCATGGATCAATCAAATGTGCAAAAGAAACACTAGAAATTGACCATTAAGAACATGGTATTTTTGAATCACCTAAAAACTCAAAATTACCATTTGAAAGATGTCTAATGGCTAAACAAGTAAACGAAATTAAAAAACTGAGAATATCAGTAAAAAGTTAAAAACTATGAGTAGAAAGAAGCATAAACCATGTGGCTGAAGAATTAAAAAAAAAAAAAATTACATGAACCCAGTGCCCGTGACTCACGCCTGGAATCCTACTACTTTGGAGGTACAAAGCCAGCACAGGCAAATATTTTGAGAGACCATATCTTGAAAATACCCAACACAAAAAAGGGCTGGGGGAGTAACGCTGGAGTAGAGCACCTGCCAAGCAAGCATGAAGCCAAGTTCATATCCCAGAACAACCAAAAAAAAAAAAAAGACGAACATGGTGCCACATGCTCTTTATTCCAGCACTCAGGAAGCAGAAGCAGGAGGAGCTAGAGACCAGCCAAAGCTAGACAGTGGGTTCAAGACAAACCTGAACTACATAGTGAGACCTTGTCTCAATAAAAAACATGGGAATTCAGTGAGAAATTAGAAATATAAGGAAGGAAACTGACATCAAAATTCAAGAAGATAATTGTATGTCCAAAAAATACAAATACCAAAACACAAAAAGCGGCACATCTTAATCAAATACTTAAAAATTACAAAGAGAATCTATGAGCAGCAAGAGAAAACGGATGTGTCAATTTTAAGGGTGCTCTTTTATGAATAGCAACAAATTCCTCAGCAAAAACCTAAAATCTAGAAAAATGCTGGAGAATACAAAATGTAGAAAGAACAAACAATCCCAACCAATAATAACAAATCCAACAAAACTGTCCTGAAAGTGAAGAAAAAAATACTTTAAAGATATACAAATGCTCAAAAAGTTTATTACCACTAAACCGGCCCTACCAGAAATGTTAAATAGAGTCCTTTCTAGTGAAAACTAAAATACTGTGGCAGAGCAATACATATCATAATGAATTTTTTTTTTCATAATGAATTTTAAAGCAGTCACGGAAAAACAAATACACACATAGAATTCCATAGTACTGCAACACAAGTGCATTCAGCACTTTCAATTTTGCTATAGAATTTGAAAGATAGAAGCATAAAAATAACCATGAATGTGTTAAAGGACAGACAATATAAAAACAGCTGTGGTATCAGTAACAGACATTGAGGAGACACATAAAGACAAAGAATCTTTATAGGCAGTTGAAGTTAATTTGTTACCAATTTAAAATACAGTGTTGTAAGCTTAAAGTGTTTTTCTAAAATCGCCAGTAAGTGGAAAGAGATTTACAGAAGATAAACAGAGGAAAAAGGAAAACAATCATAGCATGCCGCCATAAAAAAATCAATGACACACAAAATAAAGCAATTAAGAAAAGAAGTTCCTTAATTAGAAGAAAAACAACTATAAGATATGCAGAAAACAATTTATAAAATGGCAATAGTTAAGTTCTTCCTTTTCAGTAATTTCTTGCAATATAAATAAATTTGTATTTAATCCCCAATCAAAACACATAAATTAGCTGATAGGATTCAGCCAAAAAAAGAAAAAAATCCAATGACATGCTATCTACAGGAGACTCTTTCAAGATCTCAGAATGCAGATAGGCTGAAAGTGAAAGAAGGGAAAGGATATTACATGAAATAAATGACCAAAAGAAACCAGGGTAGCACTACTTATGTTATATAAAATACACTTTAAAACAAAAACAGGGGTGGTGGAGTGGCTTTAGTGGTAGAGCACCTTGGATGAAATTTGACATCCAATAATATACTTTTTAACCTATGTTAAAAACTAAAACTAAAAACTATATTAACTGATGTCAGGGAACCTAATGTAAAAAATATAGAATACACTGTAAAAAATAAAAAAGAGAGAGAGAGAGAAAGGAATCGCAAAACAAGAGAAATTTTAACCCAAGAAAATACTTGCACTATTCCTTTAAATCCTTTTAGATAACTACAACTTCGAGCTGTGATCACATACCCACATATTAAGCACTGGGAATCACTGACAGACCAACTTCACAGAAAACTTATAACCATTCATTAACAGCTGTGATGAAACAATTTTCAAAAGTAAACTGAGCAAAACTCTGATGTTATTAACATATCACAGTGGTCTAAAACAGAGATTTTTAGAAATGGGCACAGATTTTCTGGGGTCCCCAAGAGCAATGGAAGAGCAATCAGATCATACTGACCATGGAGGGAAAAGGGGAGGAATTTGGCTGTAACTGTGAATGTGTGGGGAGATGACCGGAGAGAAGGAGAAGGCTTAGAGGTTTGAAAGGCATGATAAATATACAGCAGGAGATGTCCTTCTGTGACAGCAAGAGAAATAAACCTAGGCTTCTGAAAAGTCATCTCCACTGGAACTGTGCTTCTCAATCCACATTTCAAGAGTTGGCCCTAGACCTCTGGACCTCTCACCTATGTCCTCTGCCTCATTCATTCCTACCAACCTGGGCATATGGTTCCTGTCTCTTGTCGCAGCAAGTTCCAAGGTTCTTTTCTCTGTTCCAAAAAGGTAACCAGGTTCGGCTTAAAGACAGCAAGACCTGTTTATTGAAAAATAGAACATGAGATTTGTTTGGAAGTCACACAGTAACTACTACGTTTCTTTCTCATGACTGTGCTCAGTACTGACATAATATAGTCTAGAAAATTACTATGTCAATAGTTGTTCCCTAACAGACTCATTAGAATTCTTCAGAAGCATTTTTATTTTGCAGATCCTGAACTCCACTTCCGCCCAGTACCAAACCAAACCTAAAGGGGATAAATTAGGCTTTTAAGAAGTAAACGGCAATCTTTCAGACCACTGAATTCTATAATTACCACTAAAGTAAAAGGTGTATCTCAAGAAAGGGGATGACTAAAAAAAGAAAACCATGAATGTTTCATTATCTATATCCACAAATACCCAAAATTTTTTCCTACAGACAGCAATATGAAACTCAGTCATGCAAAGCACATGCTCTGAGAGATATTCCTCAAAGGAAGGAAATTAAAGGTTGGCAGTGAGAATTCAGAATTCTGTAGGGAAACTATCCATACCCAGGGACACCAGGTTCCTGTAGTTCTCTAACATCACGTCACTATATAAATTCTGCTGAGCAGGTTCTAGGCATTCCCACTCCTCTTGAGAGAAATCAACAGCCACATCCCTGAATGTCAACAGTTCCTGAAATAAAAACAAACAATTCAATAGGACATTGACCATTTGTCATTGACAGAATTTTTTTTTTCAAGTACTAGGGTTTGAACTCAGAGTTTCACACTTGTTAAGCCACTCTGCCAGCCCTGACAGAGTTCTTACTCTACCCAAAATGGGAAAGGTTGGAGAACTGGTTCTGACATAGGTGAATAATCTTAATTATTCAGTAAGATACTTTTTTTAATACAGTGATGTTCTCTAATGTACTAGCTACCTCTGAGGAAAGAAGATGACATAAGATCCACAAAACCTTTGTAGATGTTACACATTTATTTTGTTTTGCTGTGGTGGAGCTCAAACCCAGGACCATGCTAGGCAAACATGTATCACTGAGCTACATCCCCAGCCCAGTAATAAACTTTTATGAAATACAAAATGTTAAATTAAGGGATCAAGAATATACATTTTAAGTGCTATGTTCATATTTTAGAAGATACATTTTTTTTCTCAGATAAGAAAGTCATGGTGAGTGAGAAAGGTACTTTCAAATCGTACTGTGTACAACCATGAATTAGAGATCTTATTAAAATGCAGAATCCGTTCCTTTAGTTCTGTGCTGGGGCCTCAGTTCCTCACTATGTAGAGGCTCACTACTGATGCCAAGAGGCACTCTTGAATAGTCATTATGTGGAACACTAGGGGAAAATGCATTGATTCATGAATATAAATTGAAAAAGTTTTAAAGACTTTACATTTTATTATAAATAGCATGCATAACAGCACTCCTTTTTTGGTCATTTCAACTATACTAGGTATCACTCTAAACAGATTACTGCATAAAACTGAAAATAATCTGTGAGAATAACAATATTTTTACTTTTATGATTTTGTCAACCATCTACTATATGGTAGAGACTGAGTTTTATCCAAGTATCCCTGACCTAGAAGTCATACAAAAGAAGCCTAGAGGCCAATACAAGGTGTACCTACTGAGACAATGTTCAGAGCAGTCTTCATAACTGAAAAGAGTAATGGAACCTGTAGATAGTGGTGAACATCTGTAATGGCAGCACTCAGGAAGCTGAGGCAGGAAGATTTCAGGTGTCAGGCTGGCCTGGCCTACATAGTGAGACCCTGTCTCAAAAAAAGAAAAAAAAAGGTACTGGAAAAAGACTTTGATAAAATTCAACATTCCTTCCTGATAAAAAGCCCTGAATTAATTAAGTATAGAAAGAGTATACCTCAACATAATAAAGTCTATATATGACAAACCCATAGCCAACATCACACGGGATGGAGAAAAACTAAACGTATTTCCTCTAACATCAGGGACAAAGGCGCCCTCTTATTTGATGCATCTTTTGAATTTTTAGCCAGAGCAACTTGGCAAGAGAAATAAAAAGGGTCTCAAGCAAAGAAAGGAGCAAGACAAATTATCCATGTGTGCAGAAGACATAATTCTTTTATCTAGAAAATCTAACAGACCTCACCCAAAGATTTTATTTTGGGAAGAAAGAAGTGGGACTCAGGTTTGAACTCAGGGCTTCACGCTTGCAAAGCAGGCATTCTGCTGCTTGAGCCACACCTCCAGTCCATTTTCCTCTGCTTATTTTGGAGCTGGAGTCTCAAAACTGGATCTTTCCAATCTCAGTCTCCCAAGTACCAGCAATTACACGTGTGAGCCACCACTGCACAGCTAAGACTCTTAAACCTGATAAGCAGTTTCAGCAAAATACTAGTACACAAAATCAACATAGAAAAATCAGTAGCTTAACTGATGCAATTCCATACCAGTATAATAAAAAACCTAGGAATAAACCAAAGAAGGTCAAAGATCGCTACACTGCAAATTATTTTTAAAATGAAGAAATAAATTGAAAGAGACACTAGAAGATACAAAGAACTCCCATGTTCATGTTTGGCAGAATTAATATTGTCAATACAACTGAAAACAATCTACACACCCATCAAAATACCAATGATACTCTACAAACACTTCAAAGTCTACAATTCTTATGTGAACACAAAAGACCTCAAATAGACAAAGCAACCCTGACCAAAAAGAGCTATAGTGAAGGCATCACAGTATCTGATTTCAAAACATAGTACAGAGCCACAGTAACAAAACCAGCATGGTACTGACAGACACACAGACCAATGGGATAGAATAAAGAGCTCAGAAATAAGCCTATGTGGCTATGGTAAATGACTCTCAGCAAGGGTGCCAAAAACATAAGCTGCAGAAAAGACGGCCTCTTCAACCAATGGTGCTGGGAAGACTGAAAATTAACATACACAACACTAAAAGCAGACTCCTATTTCTCACCCAGTACAAAATCAACTCAAAACACATCAAAATCTTAATGTAAAAGATGAACATTTGATACTTGTAGAGGAAAACATAGGGAAATTCTTTAAGGTACTAGCATACCCAACAATTTCTTGAAAGGACTCCAATAGGCCAAGAAACAAGAGCGAGAATTGACAAATGGGAACATGTCAAGTTAATAAGGTTCTATACAGCAAAGGAAACAATCAACAGAATTAACAGACAACCTACAAACTTGGGAGTCTTTGTGAGTTATTCATCTGACAGCTAGTTAGAATTCAGAACATATGAAGGACTCAAAAAACTTAACATCAGTGCTGGTGGAATGGCTCAAGTGGTAGAGTGCCTGCCTTAGCAACCAGGCCCTGACTTCAAACCCCAGTAACAAACAAAAACACTTAACATCAAAAGAACAAGTCATCCATTCAAAAAATGGGCAAATACTGTGAATGGACACTTATCAGGAAAAGTAAAAATGGCCAATAAATACATGAAAAAATGCTGAAAATCTGTAGCCCTGGGGGAAATGCAAACCATAAGTACATTGAGATTCCATCTCACCTCAGTCATAATGACTATTATCAAGAAAACAAAAAACAAATAGTGGTGAGGATGTGGAAAAAAAAGAAACCATTATACACTGTTGGTACAAATGGAAATAGAACAGCTATTTAAAAACACTATGTGGGTTCCCCCCACCAAAACAACTAGAAATACTACCACTATGACCCAGCTATACCACTCCTGAGGAGTGGTATACGAAAGGAAATAAAGTCAGCATACAAACAAGACACCTGCATACCCATGTTTACTGCAGTACTATTCACAACAGCAAAGACACAGGCTCAGCATACATGCCTATCAGTACAGGATGGGATAAAGAAAACCTGGCTTACACACATAGTGGAGCATTATTCAGTCACAAACAATGAAATCATGCTACTTAAAGGAAAATGGTTAGAGCCAGAGGTGATCCATAAAAATCCAGATACAGAAAAAGACAAACTCATCCAGCTCTTTCCCTGAGAGGCTCCACACCCACATTTCAACTTACTCTCTAGAAGAGAAAGCCAGGACCTGCTATTCACTAGACCCACCAAGAGACCAGACGTGACAGCTGTGGGCACCTGGCTTTAGACACCTCTAAACATAGGACCAGGAAAAGACTGGAGGCTGGGATGAGTACACATCACCCTCTAAAGTTTCCAAAGGGGACACTCAACCCAAGAAATTCTAGGTGTCTGTGGCTAAGGACGACAAAAGGAGAGGCACAAAGATTTTTTCAGGATGGTGGGGCTGGGAGTCAAGTTCTCGTTTTCTTCTTATGTGAAATGTTCGCTAAGAGAAGAATTCTTTAAGAAATGTCATGCACTGCCTAGCGAACAAAATGACAAAGTGCTGTGTCCATTTGAAATGTAGCATGAAGAACAAATAGTAATGTCGTGAAAGGGGGAAGATGGTGTTTAGAAACGAGAGCAGTGAGCTGGAACTTTAGGAATTTATTCCAGCGCTAGGAAGTGCTAGGCTGAGGAGACAGTGTTCAGGATTGGGGGGGGGGGTCCTGCTTCTTCTACTTTTAGAAAACTCACTGGAGAAAGGGTGACCCCTCAGGTGGAGGAGAGTCTGGGGACCCTACATTTAGCAGCTCTTCTCGTGCAGAAACGCCACAGACACAGTGGAAATTCATACCAAACTGGCGAGTCAACAATGTAGTACAGAGCCGCCCACTGAAGGCTTCAGGGGGCTGAAATCGCTGCACACGGACAGGGAAGGAGGGTCCGTCCGAGCTGCCACTCAGCCCCACCCCGAGGCGGAGGGGACCGAGGCCTGGGTGCACAGACAGAGCTCCAGAGGCTGCAGTAGCCGAGCAGGGACAGGGACGGGAGAGGCCCGGCAGCCGGCCCACCCCTACCCGCAGCCCGACGAGACCCAGGGCGGAGGCTGCAGTCGCCAAACAGGGATGGGACAGAAAGCCCGGAAGCCCTAGTACGTGGGTCAGAGGGGACGAAGGGCCCGGCTGCTCCGGACACTGCCGGCTCCGGTGCCGACCGCCTGGCCGGGTCCAGTCTCAGGATGCCGAGCCGGACACTCACCATCTCCTGGCCTCCAGGTGTCCGGCGTCTTCCCTGTGGACCTCCAGAGCACCCGCAGGGCCCTGGGAGACAGAGACTGCAGCAATGCCGCCTGGGCTTAAAGAGCCGAGAGGAGGAAGCCAAAAAGTTCGCAAGATGGCGACCCGGTGACAAGCCCGCGAGAGTTTGAAAGCCCGCCCTGTCCGCCTGGCAGCGTTTCTGATTGGACCGTCATCAACCAGCGCCTCTGATTGGACAGGGCTTCAGGCCCTTCCACCTCTGGCCCGAAGAGCAGATGGCCTGAGCCAAGGCAGTTTCTTGGTTGCAGTTTGCTTTTTATTTATTTTATTTATTTATTTTAAGTGGCGCCGAGTATTGAACCCCGAGCCTCTAGCAGCACTTTCCAGACAACGGCTTCTGGCCATTACATAGGTAACTGCTGTTAGGAAAACGCTGCACACCGCACACAAAGGAGGCTCAGGAGAGTTATCTCATGTCCAAAAGTTTAATAAGCAGGCTGACTGGCCCAGAGAAAAAGGCTCAGCAGCTTCTCTCGGCCGGTCTGATCTTAAGTAGCATTTGGGAGAATGCAAGGGCAAGGGATGATTTCTTTTTTTTCACTTTTATTATTCATATGTGCATACAAGGCTTGGATCATTTCTCCCCCCTGCCCCACCCCCTCCCTTACCACCCACTCCGCCCCTCCCTCTCCCCCCCCCAATACCCAGCAGAAACTATTTTGCCCTTATTTCTAATTTTGTTGTAGAGAGAGTATAAGCAATAATAGGAAGGAACAAGGGGTTTTGCTGGTTGAGATAAGGATAGCTATACAGGGCATTGACTCACATTGATTTCCTGTGCGTGGGTGTTACCTTCTAGGTTAATTCTTTTTGATCTCACCTTTTCTCTAGTTCCTGGTCCCCTTCTCCTATTGGCCTCAGTTGCTTTAAGGTATCTGCTTTAGTTTCTCTGCGTTAAGGGCAACAAATGCTAGCTAGTTTTTAGGTGTCTTACCTATCCTCACCCTTCCTTGTGTGCTCTCGCTTTTATCATGTGCTCAAAGTCCAATCCCCTTGTTGTGTTTGCCCTTGATCTAATGTCCACATATGAGGGAGAACATATGATTTTTGGTCTTTTGGGCCAGGCTAACCTCACTCAGAATGATGTTCTCCAATTCCATCCATTTACCAGCGAATGATAACATTTCGTTCTTCTTCATGGCTGCATAAAATTCCATTGTGTATAGATACCACATTTTCTTAATCCATTCGTCAGTGCTGGGGCATCTTGGCTGTTTCCATAACTTGGCTATTGTGAATAGTGCCACAATAAACATGGATGTGCAGGTGCCTCTGGAGTAACAGTCTTTTGGGTATATCCCCAAGAGTGGTATTGCTGGGTCAAATGGTAGATCGATGTCCAGCTTTTTAAGTAGCCTCCAAATTTTTTTCCAGAGTGGTTGTACTAGTCTACATTCCCACCAACAGTGTAAGAGGGTTCCTTTTTCCCCCATCCTCGCCAACACCTGTTGTTGGTGGTGTTGCTGAAAGGGATGATCTTTGATCTGCAAAGGAAGACACCAGCTGCAGGAGCAAGGAATAGGGGCGGGCAAAGGGAGGTGGTGGAGATAAGGGACAGTGGGCTTTGATCAGCAAGGGATGAGACCAGCTGCTGAAGCAAGGTCTAGGGGCGGGCAAAGGAAGGGGGTGGGAGATAAGGAACGGTGGGCTTTGTTTTGCAAGAAGTAAAACCAGCTGCAGCTTAGGCTGCAGAAGAGGCAGTTCTTATCAACTGCTCCATCTCAGGAGACCCATTCCCAGCCAAAGGTCAGCTCCACACACTTTAGTCTGTTTTCCCCAAAACAGACAGGATGCAGCTGGCTAAATAAGGGGTCTAGAACTTTCAGGACTGAGCTCAGCCTCCTAGGATAGGAGGGAGCAAACTGCCTCTGACTGTAGCCACCTCCCCCACAGACAACTCCTTGCTGGCTATCCAGGCCCTGCAGGACATAGAAAAGGCCTGAAGCCACAGATGAGCTATTTCCTGGGAGGGCTAAGGGATAGGTGCTGCTGCTACCCTCTGAGTTTGGGAGAGTTGGCTGGGTGGGGGAGGCCTGAGCCCCACTACTCCGGTGTCATGTAGACGGGTGGCTGGCCCCCACCCCACACGTGCTGCTGGCAGCACATCCTCTGTGATCTGGGCCTCCCAGGAGGCCAGGGGTCAGTGTCAGTGCCCTTCCAGGCTTGGAGATTGTTAGGGCCCCAGGAGGACACCAGTGATCAGCATGATGGCCTCTGGACCCCCTCCTCCAATCACAGTCAGTTCTCCTGGGGGGCTCCCAGCAGTGGACCTTCATTCTTTTTGTTTTTTCTTTGCAGTACTGGGATTTGAACTCAGAGCCTTCACCTTGTGCCACTCTACCAGCCCTTTTGTGGTGGTTTGTTTGTTTGTTTGTTTGGTTGGTTTTTTCGAGATAGGGTCTTACTGAACTGTTTGCCCAGGCTGCCTCTGAACCGCAATCCTCCTGATCTCTGCCTCCTAGTAGCTAGATGACAGGCGTGAGCCACTGGTGCCTGGCTGTAGATCCTCATTCTTACACACACAACATAATGGAAGGAAGAGCTTTGTGCCTGTGTCTCTCACAGACCAGCTTAGAAGCTTCTGAGAGCAGGGGCAGGGTCTGACCTCTGGATCCAGTGCTGATACCCCACCCACACACCGCTCCCTTCTACAGTGTGCTCCTGTGAGCAGAGGGCTATACCCACAGACACCTAGAATCTATAGTGCACACCTTAGGCAGCAACCCAAGAAATTCAGCTTCTAGAGTTTATTATGAAGAAATAATCAGGTAAAGGGCATAGGGCTAAGGGGAGAGGACAGGAATGCCCAGCCTAATTCTGTATAGAAAACAGATAATGGACACAGTCAATGCCCACCAGTAGGGTACTGGGGCATCAGTTAACACAACCCCATCATGAAATGCTGCTGTAGGACTGAAAGGCTGGCGTTAATCTTTATGCACTGACAAACAGATGTCAGGATACATATTTAAATGAAGAAAGGAGGGAGTTTAAACACTAAACTTTAATGTAGTTGAATAAAATGTTTGTTTTGCAGACACAATGAATTACCACCTGGCAGGGAAACCCACCATGGCCCACCCTGTCTCAACCATCCCTAGCCAGGTTTGCCTCTCAGCACTCAAGAAAATATCCTTTGAACACAGATATGTCAAAATGCTCCTCACACCTCACTCATAAAATTAACAGGTGTAGGAGGGTGACCTTGTGTATGGGCAGTTGAAAAGGACCAGTAGTGCAACATTCTCCCTTCTAGGCCTCAGTGCACAGAACTCACTGGGAACTTGATTCTGATTTATCACTACCCAAGTCTAACAGGCCTGCCTACAACTTCTAATCTCATGCACATTTTTCAAATGCTTCTTCCAATACAGGGAGTTACCAACCAAAAAATTCAAACATGACAGTGGGCTAACAAGCCTTCCACTACTCATCAGAATCCCTTCCTTGGGGAATTCTGGGGACCTCCATTTTTATTCAGGATAAAGCTCTGTAACTTGTGCTGCACAGCTGGTCAATCCACACCTGCTTCTTCCATGCTGTTGGCTTGGCTCCCCAGGGATGGTTCGGCCCCAGCTTCCCTCTGAAAACTCAAGGAGCATCCTGGCTCCCCAGAAGGCATCACAGGAGGCCTGGCCATCAGGCCACTGCACCTAGAAGCCAACACAGCATTACACACAGAGGTGCCTTCTGCTAGGTTCCAAGACCCACCTTCCCACCTGGGCACCTCCAGATCCTGTCAAACCCACACTCTAGACTAGAAGGAGGCACAACCCCACAGTAACCCAGCTCTGAGACTACTAAAATGTCCAGCCATTTGTTTTCTCTACTCTTTGTTCAATGCTTGGTTTTATCATTCCAACACACTAGCTTAGCCCGCTTCAGCCACGAACTGTGAACCAGATTATGATTGAAACATGCAGGCCTCACCTGACTGGAGGTCAGGGGATGGCTCAGCTCCGAGGCAGACACAGGACTTGGGAAGGCAGATGGGGCTGGCACCAGGTCTTGCAGGCTAAGAAAGGGGCAGTATCAGAACTGGCCCTCTCTCGGGGACTGCCCCACACAGTTCTGCTCTATACATCAGGTCAGGTTATGACTCAAGGGGTTGATGACAAGATCCCCCCAGTCGTATCTGTGTACATCAGGAGTCATTCTAGGTGCTGCATTCCAATCATGAACACTTTCTTCCAGCACAGCCCTCTGTGTGTAGAGTGAGTTAGGAAGGGAATGTACTACACAGTGAACAGGATCATTTGGCAGGTCATACAGGAAAAATGAAGTTGAGTGCATTAGAGCAAGCTCATGGATTTTGAACCAGTGAACACAAACGAAGGAACAGATCACAAAGAAGGAATGGTTCTGAGGTATGAGGGAGATGAAAGACCATGTGGACCAAGTCAGGAAAAGCAGGAAGGAGAGTAGAGACTGGAGAGGCACAGTCACTCAGGACAATTCAATGGTTTTCAACCACGCCAACACATGCCTACCATTGTTGCACTCCTAGGTGTACTTCAGGGGAAACAAAGTAAATATGCAAACTACACACATGCAGGAACATCCACAGTGACCTCCTCTGGGAATTCCCCAAGCCACAGACACCCAAATACCACCCAAAAGAGAATGGACAAGTACACAGTCTCCCATTTACACTGTGGATTAGGAGTCAGCAATAAAAGGATTAACTATTGTACTGGCAGAATGGCTCAAAGGGTATAGTGCCTGCCTAGCAATCATGACGCCCTGAGTTCAAACCCCAGTACTGCCAAAATAAAAAGGATTAGGTGCATTATATAGAATGTCATGTAAATAGAAGCATACACTGTGTACTCTGGTGTTTTGCTTTTCTCTGGCTTCTTTCACTGGGCATAACTACTTTGAGATTCACCATGTTGTTAGGTGTATCAACAGTTACTCACCTGACTTTTCCAGCAGGCGCCCTAATCTTTCTTTCTTTCTTTTTTTTTTTGTAGGTAATAGGGATTGAACTCAGGGCCTCACACTTGCTAGGCAAGGTTCCTGCCACTTGAGCCATGTTCCCAGTCCCAGTGCAACTAATCTTTACTGACAGAAGTAAACCTGTAGACCTGTGGCCCTGGCGTGCCAGGGTCATGGTGGGTGAGGGCATGAGGAGGTTGCATTCATGAACTTCATTAGGGTTATGGCTTCATGGTGGATACTGACGACATTCTGGAAAACTGTAGGTTGTTCAATGTACATATACGCAGCTAAATGTGTGCCAATCACTCCTCAATGAAGACGTTTAAAGAAGGATTCAGTAACCGGCTTTCGGTGGCTCACGCCTATAATTCTAGCTACTCAGGAGGCAGAGATCAGGAGGTTCACGGTTCAAAGCCAGCCCAGAAAAATAGTTCACGAGACCCTATGTGGAAAACAATCTATCACAAAAAAGGGCTGGGGGAGTGTCTCAAGGTTTAGGCCCTGAGTTCAAGCCCCAGTATCGAAAAAGAAAAAAAAAAAGAATTCGGTGTCCTCGTTTCAGAGCAAGGGCAAGCAGGAGGTGTTAGAGTCAAAGTAGTGACAGAAAGGTCACAGTAGTCATGTGGAGAAGCCAAGCAAACTATAAGGGGACAAGGGGAATTCTACAGCATCTGCCCCATCTCAGCTGTGACCCGAATGCAAAGGTGAACGCATTCCACAATCCAGCTGTCTCAGCAAGCAGAGCATGTGATTTGGGGGCTGTACCCCTTCTCACATGTTCTCCTCACTGGACAACTACTTCAGATTCATGGCCTTTGCCACCCCAGACTAAAAGGGGTCCATATCCTGGGGACATGGTCTTGGTGACCCCTACTGGTGTCCACTGGGACAGGATGGGTAGTGATGGTCCTTTTTCCATCAGACTATCCTGTCACATTCCCTCATCAATCCCCCCACATCTCTGCTTTCTCCTGGCCCCTTTCCCCAGTCTGGGGGGTCTCAGTTGTCTTCTTTCCACCACAGGACCTCAGACCATCCCATACACTGTTCACACTGTCTCTGCAGTACCCCCAGAGACCCTGGTCATCTCTTCATCTCTGACAATCCATAGCCTTGATGTTATCACACTATTTTCTCCTACGCTGCTTGACTCCCTCAAAAGTTCCACAAACTACATCTTACTACACAATCAGGATCTTGATGCTGCTCAGAAACTCCACAGCCTATGTGGGGAAAAACCACCAGCAAGAGGTTACTATTGGCAGGGTAATCTCAGGTCAGAGTTGACTCCTACACACCATGGAAAGAAGGAGATGCCCACATCTGTTCTATTCTTTTTGTTGTTGTAGTACTTGGGCTTGACCTCAGGGCCTACACCTCATGCTACTCCACCAGCCTTTTTTTGTGATGGGTTTTTTCCAGATAGGGTCTCACAAACTATTTGCCTGAACTGGCTTTGAACTGCAATCCTCCTGATCTCTGCCTCCTGAGTAGCTAGGGTTACAGGCGTGAGCCACCAGCGCCTGACTGTTCTTTTCTTTTTAGAGGGACAAACTACTCTGTTTTTGGAAGATGTGAGATGGAGGGACTGTTATAGTTTTTAGAAATCCATAGGAAAGGAAGTGAGCTGCAGAGTTGAGATGGTGAGTCTATAGACCCTGCCTCATTGCCTGCACAAAGCATTGTCAGAGCCCGTGGATCTTCAGGCTTACCTGTGAGGAAGGATGAATTCACAAGCCTGTAGTGGGGGCTGTGTCACCAAGAAGCCATTCATTTCTGACCGTCCACCACTTGGGCCTGGACCCTCCTCTGTGCACACACTTTGAGGACTGTCATTGTGAGGGTCACTAAGTCCTGCAGGTAAAAAATTTCACAACCCAATGGCAAGAGGAAGGAGCACAGCACACATGTACCACAATGATAGCAAGTAGGAAGGCAGCCTAGATTGCATGAACCCAGCTCACCTCTCCTCAGCCTGCCCCTTAGGAAGGAAAAATACAACCTTGACCTTAACAATCTTTCAGACCTCCTGAGACCAAGTGGAAGTAGGGTTCTGCTGACTTTAAGCTATTCTTTGCCACTCTGGGCCTCCTACCACACAGTGCCCAGAGCTGAGTCTGGCTCTTCTCATACGCTGCTTCCTTCCACTGGCCATGGGATGTACAACTTGCACTGCAGACCTCTCTTGCAGCATGGAACATTTAGCCACCACCCTGCCATGGCCCACACTTTAAACTTACTTTAGATTTCACTGAGATTTCCCTGAGGTGTAAGCTGTCACTACATCACCCTGTTCTCTGGCTTTCTCTCAACCTAAAATAAATCAGAGAATTTCTCAGATTTTTCCTCTTAAAAATAAGCTACATAGTCAGGCACTGATGGCTCACATCTGTAATCTTAGGTAGTTGGGAGGATGAGATCAGGAGGCATGCAGATCAAGGCCAGTCCAAGTAACAGCTTAGAAGACACCATCTCCAAAATAACCAGAGCAAATGGACTGGAGGTGTATGGCTCAAGTGGTACGGTGCATGTTTTCCAAGAGCAAAGCCCTAAGTTCAAATCCCACTCCATCGGAAAAAATAAACAAATAAGCTACCATGGATTTGGTCAGCTCTGAATGGATATACATGTAGCAGAGAAGACATCTGAGAAGGCAGGCTCCTCGTTGCCCTCATTCTATGGGATGGCACTACCAGCATTAATACACTCTGACCTCAAACACAGGCCTGGGATTGGCTCATGCTGGCCTTCTTCCTCCTGCCCATCAGAGCAAGCACCTTATCCAGTAGCTGGCTATTCAGGACCTTCTGAGGTCAAAGGGCCCTTCCTGACTACCTGGCATGTGGCTCTACCTCTGCTTCTGCTGTTTCATGTAAAACTCGAAGGACATTCTAAGTAGAGGGAATGATGTTCCAGTGTCAATGTGGACATTCGAGGTCACACATAATAAAGCATATGGGTCATATCTTCTCTTTCCAAGATAAAGGAAAGTGTGAAAAGCCTCATACCCAACATCCACAATTCTGCAGGGTGAGGAAATGGGCAGGCCCACGGCCACAGGGCATCTGACAGGGATAGTACAAAAAATGCCAGAAGCCTTAAAGGAGACTTCTTTAAATCAAAAGGCTTAACAGGAAGATGAACTAAAGAGAACTCTACCTATGGGCCCTCAGTGTGAAATTCCAGGAAAAAAGCTGAAAGCGCCAAGAAATGAAAGATAGATTATCTGCAAAGGAGTAAATATCTGACTCAACATCAAAAACTACAAAAAATGACAATGTCTTCAAATTTCTGAGGGATAAAGTATTTTTTGTTAGTCAAATGTGAGGGCAAATTAAAGATATTTTTAGAACATTAGAAGACTTAGGAAATTACCTTGCAGGCACCCGGTCTTGCAAAGTTAATTAAAGATATTCTCTAACAAAACAAGTCAAGAAAAAAAGACCAAGCCTGCAATCCAGGAAGCACTGGAACCAACCTAGGAAGCAGTTGGGGACCTGGGGTGATGGTTCCACCCCAGGCCTCGTGAGCCATCACCTGCTTGGGAACAGGGAACAGGGAAACTAAAACAGGACATTTCTACTCAGAGCTGAGGGTAGAAGACAAGGAATTCCACAGAGTTCATCACTGTCTGAGGCACAGGAGCTCACAGGCAAAGTAGATGGCTGCAAGGGGAGCCACAAGGAGGCAGCTGTTTTCTACTATTTAAACTCTTTCCTGTCTCACTTCTCAGCCATGTGCATATTTTTTTCAAAATATGAAGAGGAGTCTCTATCTTCTACACTGGTTCTGGGTATCTTCAAACACCACAGATTCAAGCAAAACACCCCACCTGCATTTCCACCCCTCATACAATACCAGGGTAGTTACAGTGTCTGAGGCTGAATCTCATGGTCAGTGCAAGGTGGACCCACCTGCAGGGCTGGGATCACCAAGGCTTGCAATGGACATGGCCACAGCAGTGTCTGAAGGATGTATCCTGGAGTCCAATATGTGACCATGGGCTGTCTGCCCACTCTGGAAGCAAACTTCCTTGGATGACGCCAGTGCAAGGGACATCAGCCATGACTCAGGTGCAGCCAGAGAGGGATCAAGTATGTCGCTGCCAGCAGCCAGAGGGCAGAGGCCAGGACCAGGGCAGATGTGGCTGAGGGTGGCAGAATCGAGGCCCGACCCCTCCAAGTACCTCTCGTCTCCCGACAGAGACCTGGGGGACATGGTAAACAATGTCCCTTGGTGGGCAGAGGCTCCTTCAGGCCAGGGCACTAGGGCCTAGGAAGGGACTTCAACCACACTTAGGACTGTGAGTGCTCATCTGAACTCTGTCACTGAAGCCTGTGTCACCCAGCATGTCACTCATCACACTGCCTGCATCCTTCCCCCTGAAGCTGCAAGGCTGGGCCTCTAGAAACTATTAATAAAGCCAATTATTCAAAACCTAAAGTACATTAGCAGTTTATTCACAATGGCCTTCCATGAAGTACTGAAAACTAAAAATGACTGGCAAGACCCTAATATTAAGTGAATAAATGATGACTGATATTATGAATAAGAGGTGGAAAACTGATAATAGTTTCATGATTTAATATTCCACGCATGCTCACTTGTGCTCCTATGCTTTGGTTAAACATTCCCTTAATATTTGCAGCAGTCCACATGGTGGGTCTTATCACCATCCTGATTTCATAAATGGGAGGTCACACAAATGTGCCTGAAATCATACAGCCCTATGATGCTGGTCCTGGTGGTATCATGGGAGATGCTGGTGTCACGAGTGCAAAAAAGGAGGAAGAGAAGTGTACACAGAGTGATAGACAATTGTGGGCCAGGCCAGCCTGGACCTTGGCCTCTGGTTGACTGTAATTGGGCTGCCCCCAATTACATCCCCACATCCCCACATCATGTTTATGCCACATGCCAGGTGAGCAGAGAATGCAGGGGAAGGTTCAGACAGCACTGGTACAACCAGAATTGGAAAGACATTGGCTATTGCTAACTCTATGCAACACAAGCCAATAAAATACTAGAAATAAACCCAGCGATGCTGTGTTTCTCTTTAGATGGTAGGTATGTTCTACATGTTCTTCCTTCTTTTTCTTTCATTCTTTGAAATGCACATGAAATTAGGTCATGTGTGAGACAAAGTGCAGAGAGAAAGCAGAGGGTCAGATGGAGCTACATCCTCCAATTCCCTGACATGTGCTCCTTGCTGGTGGATTCTCTGCCCCTGAGGCCTCATCTTGTCACTAACCTAGTCTCAATGTCCAGGTCTGGCAAACACAGGCCCACTCAACACCCCAGTCTCTACCCATGAAAAGTTAGGGCTAAACAGTAATGTGGGTAGGGGTGTGGCTCAAGCAGAACACCTGCCTATCAAGTGTGAGGCCCTAAGTTCAAACCTCAGTACAGCCAAAAAAAATAAAAACAGGTAAGATGGTCCCACAGCCTAAAGGTATGACAATACCTGGCAGACAGTGGCTTTGAGACTGTGTTGACTCCAGGAAAGCCCAGGGCCAGGGCCAGTGGTGCCCATGATGCTTGAGTGTTCTCTAAGGACCCTGGAGGTCCTCCTTCCTCATGTCCTGCTAAAAGCACATCAAAGAGAAAGGAAGGTTGTGTGAGGCTGCAGATCCCAGCCTCCTGCCCAATGTGTAAAGGCAACACTGCTGGCTGAAAATAGGAATGGCCTCCCATTCCCATATCTTTCTTTGTCCTTTCACCTGACTTTGGTCTGAACCAACAGTTACAATCCCAAAGCTTGGTTCATTTCCCAAATCTATTCACTATCCCCCGCCCTCTGGCTGTGTAATACCTCCAGAATGACACCTGAACACACAGTAACCTGAAAATACAAGGGCAGCCACAGCCCCACCGAGGCCAATACTAAGCCAGACCAGTCCTGTCAGAAATCAGCCCCAACTACAAGGAGGCTGGGGCTCTCAGGAAGCTCACCTGACCACTGAGGCCTGCCTACAAAGGCAGAGTCACCATGGGGACTGCTTGAGGGATGGAGGGGGTTGAGCTCCCTCTCCTTTGCACTGTGGACTTCTTCTGACACAACCTTCTGGGTTGGCTCCATATGCTGGAGAAGGGACCTTTGGCGCCGCCGGTAATTGGCAAACCAGTTGTACACCTGCTCAGCAGTCAAGCCTGTCTCCAAAGCCAGATTCTCCTGCCCAAAACATCAAGACTTCTATTCCCAAGTTACAGTGGTGCACAAAGGTGGTTGGGACTTCACTTCCCCTGACAGTGAAGTCCTTGCCCATAGTGACCGCTGGCTCAGGGCACCAGCTCAGAGCACTGGGAACCCCTGTAGTTCGGCCAGGGTAAGAAGTGGGCAGCCCCCATATTAGAAAACCAAACCCTGGAGGGGAGAGGTCAAAGAGACATGGAGACCACCAGCACCCTGGGAGACAGACCATTGCGGGGGGGCTATGGAGCATGTGAGGAAAAGGGAAGACACCCAAGAGAAGGGGAAGTGGTGGAGAAAGGTATGGGGAGTCCCCTGGTGGAAGGAGAGACAAGGAGGGGAAGAGGGAGCTGTCTAGGGGCAGAAGAGAAGAACAGCCTGGGGTAAGTGAGGGGAGTCACCTGGGTGGAAGTGAGGAGAACGAACTGAGGTAGGATTTTGTCCTTCTTACCCTCTCTGCCTTACTGGGGTTGGTGCTCACACCTGAGGCAAAGTCCTTCAGAGTCTGGCGAACCTCTCGGGGGAAGTTCCGGCTTTTAGGGCCCTCGGGACAGATGGAAGGGGGTGGTGGGTTCCTGAGTGAGGACAGTTGAGAAGAGACTTACAGACCAAGACCATCTTCTCCCTGATCAGGGCCTGGCCCTCTGGAGAAAGTGACACTCATGTTCCTCAGTCTATGGACCTCCTCCTAGGGGTGCTTCTCCCTGTCTCTGGTTTGGAGACCTACACCCTCTCCCACAGGAACAAGCACTCCCCATGCACGGTGTACACAAAACTGCAATCTGCCTGGGAGCCCTGTCTCTCTAGGCCCTAACGGTGCCAGGACATATCTCACCCCACACATACCAGTCCTCCATGGTCACCCTTCCTTCAGTGCTCTCCAAGGACCTCTGTATGGCCCAGGCTCCTCCCCACAGGTGCATTCTGTGCAGTCTTCTCCAGTCCATCCCTGCATCTTGACAATGATCCTCCTGGCCAGAGTCCTCTGCTCTCTTACACATCTCCCAGATGAACAGAGCTCCTCTCCAAGCCAAGCCAAGCCCAGCCTAGAACATAGCTCCTGCTCCCCCTGCTTGCTCAGTATTCCCCCACAGTCAGTATTTCTTCTTCAGGGTCATCACCATGAGCTGATAAAAATCTATTTTATGCACAAATCCCTCTTAACTCCCTCTTCCTCTCCAGCTGCCTACTCCCTTCCAGCAGAACTTCTCAGAGAATGAGCATTGCAGTGACTGCCCCCCCCTACCATGTTGTTGCTAGCTCACCATTGCCCTCCCTGCCATCAACTCAGTCTACTTGCTTCTCAGCCCCCATACACCCCTGCATTCCTCTCCTATTAGCCACTCCTCCTCACCCTGCTCTGGGCTGCAAAACCCTACAGTTCACCCCTGAGTCAGGAAAGCCTACTTGTTGGTTCAGCCCTCTCCTCTCAGCGGCCCATGGGGATTTCAGTGCCACAAAGAGGCACCAAGCTAAAACTGTTGAATCTGGACAAGAGGTTTCAGGTCATACTATTCTCTCTTATGCCTTTGAACTTTTTTGTGAGGGAAACGTGACATATACAAAGATCAGCTGACTGTGGAAGACATAATATCCACATACCTACATGGACATCTGAAATGCATCTCATGTCACGTACCCAAGATAGAACCCACCTGAGCTATCCAGACCATCCCCCAATCCCTGTGCACCTTGGAGAAGAAAAAGCACCCCACTTCTGGTGGTTCTGACACTGTGGAGCATGCTGGACTCTTAAATCAGCAGATCCTCCACATCCACACTACACTCCTGGGCCAAAGCCAATCTCCAAGAACCTCCACCAAGATGCCCTCAGGAATGGCCAGTAGTCAGAACACAGACCAGGTTATGACCACTGTGCATATCCTCTACAGCTGATCATCAGCTTCCTTGGGATCCCCTGGGGCTGGGGAGGGCAGGGCAGGGAAAGTCAGCCACCACCTGTTTTTGTGGCCACATGCTAAGAACAGTCTCCACATTTGTAAAGGGTTGTGAACACTCAAAATGTCTGCTAACTTCTCCAGGACACCAAGCACCTTTCAACTCCTGATGCCTGATGTGGCTATCTCTCTGCCTGGAAAAAACTGTCCACATGGCCAGCACCCACATACACATTCTCAGGTCTCTCTTCTAAGATTTGCACTGGTCTACCCAGTCTAAAGCAGTCCCCTCCCCATAGCAAAGACCCAATCCCTCCCAGTACTCTTATAAATGTGTTCTCTGCATAATCCCACATGAAGGAATCCACTTTCTTCTTTATCTACTGTCTGTTGCCTACATCCTGTGGGCAGCTTCAGGAAAATAGGGCCTGGTCGACACCCTGTACCTCCTATCACCCAGCATACAGGAGACACTTCACAAACACATTGACACCACCACACCATGGTGGTGCCCAAGTCACTGTCTGCTGAGCAGTGTTCTGGCAGGCTATCATCCTCTAGGATGGACATGGCCACCTTCTCTGAGACCCAAAGCTGATTAACTCCTGGACTTCACTGTCACTATATGAGGGGCAACATGCAAGAAAATTTGGTCCAAAAAAGGAATCTATCTCATCTCCTACAGTGTCCAAGACTTGTGACTCAGGAATCCTTATTTACTTGGTCACTTGGGAGTTCAGAGCAAGACCTGCAGCCCTCCCTCCCTGGCAAGAGAAACCCAGAGATGAACAAAGGCTTTGGGGTCTTGGCCACTGGGGAAACCTGGCCTTGATTCTGCCATGAAAAAACTCAAGCAGATGAATTAACTTTTGTGTGACTTATCCATAAATGGTGATGGTAGGGATAACAATTATTAGCACATCTCTTTATTGATGATCATAGTGACAATAATTAAGTTATTCAGTGCCTATCTTATGCTAGATGTACTTTCATATACATCACATGTGACTTGTTCCAGTACTGGCAACATTTTTGTCCTCTTCTTTTTAAAGTATCCTCTCTGCCAGGCACCAGGGGCTCACACCTGTAATCCCAGCTACTCAGGAGGCAGAGATCAGGAGAATCACAGTTCAAAGCCAGCCCTGGGCAAATAGCTCACAAGACCCTATCTCGAAAAAAACTCACCACAGAAAAGGGCTGGCAGAGTGGCTCAAGTGGTAAGACTACCTACCTACCAAGAGTGAAGCCCTAAGTTCAAACCCTAACCCTAACCCGCTAAAAAAAAAAAAAAGAAAAAGGTAGTCCCAAATGGACACCTGGAGCCTAGATTCGAAAATTACTGAGACACATGTGCTGAGCAGCTCCCACTTGCCCTCCACATCCACTGTCCCCATCCCGGCTCCTTGTCCAGCCAGGCTCAGGTGACAATGGGAGGAGATGGGAATAGTCAGGATGCCCACCATTGGCCTGTGTCAGCCACACGGCATGCAGCCATCTGTTTCTAGTCATCACCTACAGGTGAAGGTGGCAGGTGAGGTGTGGCACAGTGAGGAGCACACAGCAAGGGCATCACCAACACTGAAGTCACACTGTTCATTACATTGTGACAAGACTGCTTACATGATTTCCTGCCCTTGGTCTCTCCTCTATTTCTCCAGCCTCTTTGGGTTTTGGAAGGTACATGTTAGCCCTTTGGGGCTCCCATGGAACCAGCATAGATAAATGCCAGCAGATACCTCCTCCTGCATCGGAACTTCTGCACCGGGCTCAGTGTGACCACACCCAGTCTCCTCATGGCCAGGCAGTAGTGGATATCATTCCAAAGGTGCACCAACTCCTTGCTGCCTCCAGGTACCCGGCAACCCTGAGGAAAGAGCTTGCTGAGATTTAGTTGCCTTCTACTCACTTTGACAGACTTGAAAACCTGAGCCCATGTGCTCCAGGGGCAATGAGTGTCACAGATCCTGCAATGGGCAGTATTGTGAGACCCCTCCCTTGTGAAGTGATGACAAATGACAAGGCCTTTATCAATTGAGTTGCATAGAGGGGCAACCAGAGATATACAGGAGCCTACAAGAGGCTACCTGTGGGGCTAACACTCATGCAGAATCCAAAGCATCACATAGCACAAGTCACACGGAGCCAGGCTCCAGTCTGTGGCAAAGGAAGTGACACATACAAAGGTCTTGAGACAGAACTATCTCAGGAGTTACAAAACAGGGAGGGAGGAAGCACCCCCAGAGGGGGTGGGGGCAGGGAGGAGACTGACAAGCAGGCAGGCTGAATGTAGTCAGCACAAGCACTGCCATGTGTATCCAGTGGTTTCTTCTGCACTTCAAACTTCCTCTGGCTGATGAGTGGATTGAGGGACAGAAAACAGCATTATCCTTTAGGAATGCAAAGCGAGAAAAATGGACTGATGTTAAAGCACCTGCTTTGCAAGTACAAAGTCATGAGTTCAAACCCCAGTCCCGCCAAAAAAAAAAAACAAAAAAGAGCCCCAAAAACAACAACAAAAAAACCTCTTTGGCACTTGAGAATTTTTCAGATTTCAGGAAGAAAGGCACATCTTAAGCAGTGTGTACCAAGCCAGCACAACCCTGCAGCACTCTATGACCAAACACACCACTGTTTAGGCAGCAAGATGCACAACAGTCACATAAGGTGAACAAATATATACCACACGTAGATCTACATCAACTCAGGTCAGGATTTCATTCTTTTTTTGTTTTGAGAAAGTCTCCCAACTCTCCCAAGTTGGCCTTGAACCTGTGAGCCTCCTGTCTGTTTTCCAAATGTTGCAAGTGCTGGGATTACAGTCGAGTGTCATCCTGCCCACCATCAGGTCAGGTTTTGATGCCAAGTGTGTGCTGAAGTTGAAGGTGCTGCCACATGGGCACAAAGACTCATTTGGTTTCAGAACTGCTGAATATCAAGATCCTGGGTCTAAGTGACCAACCATTCCAAAGCCAGACTACGTTTTATCCACTCACCGTGTTCACCAGTTGGCACAGTGCTTGCCTCAGGGTCACCACTCAATATAGACTTGATAAACAGGAAGTTTTATCTGATTACCAAACTAGTTACTACTTGGCAAAGTGAGAGTGAGCTATCCTGACTGAGGTGGGGATAGTGGAGGCTACCAGTCTCTGCACCCCCTCCCACCACCAGTCCTACCTCCAGAAGCCGGCAGGCCGCCTGCTGCTGCTCCTGCTGAACCAAGACACGGGCACACACCAGGGCCACATGTTCATTGTCCAGCAGGTGCAGACGGAGTTGGCTGGCCAGAACAGCTGCCACCAAAGGTTGCACCTGGGTGAGATCATCCTGGAGGTCCCGGCACAGCCTGCCTGCGAGAGTCACCAACTCTGCTGGAGGTGAGCAGGAGCCCCCATGCTCCCTCAACAGCATCAGGAAGCTCTGCATCCTGTGTCAGATCCGCCACTCTGCCAACATAAAAGAGTCAGGACAAGACCAACAGAGACTACATCCTTGCAACCCATCTGTCCTCAGAGCAATTCCAGGAGACCAGTGATAACTGACCTCAGGCCATAGACACTTACAAGGTAGGATAATAAGATGACCTGAGAAAAAGCAGGTTGGTCTCACACACCCATGCCAATTTCATTCTAATCTCTCCCCCAAATAACTGTGTCCTTAACGAAGGCGGCTGTGGACATACCGCTGGCCTGGGCGCTGTCTGCCACTGTCCATCTAACTTGCCTGGGCGTTCCCTCTGTCCCCACCTCTCATCCTTCCTCTCCTCCAGGCTCTGACACAAGCCGTGACTGTTTCCTCCCACTCCTGCTGTGGCCTCCGCGGGTTCATCAGCGGCCCTGGTGCGTACCGGATGAGTGACATGGCACCCCTAACGCGTTCACACAGGAAACTGCTTCTGCCAGTCCTAACCCGGCTAGTGTCACCGACTTACTGGACAACAAGCTGGGTCCTGGAGCATCCCAAGGGAGAAGCCACAGAGGGCAGTTCGGGCACCATGCTGGTGATGGGTTTTCAGACAAGAAAACTCCTTACCGCGCAGCTCATTTCCGTGGAATACGCTCCAGAAAGGAGGCAGCGGAGGCAGCGAGACCCCGGCCTGCCGCGCTCCCTGGCGGTGGGGCACCTTGCAGCGGGCTCCCCGCACACGCCACGCCCCTGGACCCCCTGGACGGAAGGGACCTCCACGGCCCCCGGGGAAGGGGGAGAGGAAGGGTCCTCTCAGGACCCAGGTTTCCTCCAGCGCCGCCCACGGGCTGGGGGCGGGGAGGGGCGCGGAGGACAGGGCTGCATCTGCACAGGATGGAACCCTCACCTGAGGAAGGCAGTGGCTCCTGCAGGGGTCTCTGGCCCGCGGTGCCCCGAAAGGGCCTCGCCCAGGCTGGGATGGAGAGGACCAGGCCTTGCCCGCCGCCCCTTACCTTTCGGGCGCGTTGCTCCCACAGATGCGGAGGTGAATGCGGACAACGCCCTGGCCAGGCAAAGTTCAGCCCGGCGCCGCAGCCCCACCCTGCGCCCTGGAGGCCCCGCCCAAGCGCCCTGGCGCCCCCTAGAGACCGCCCACCCCGCCCTCCACGACCCCGAGCCTGGAGTCCCGCGCCCGTGGAAACCCGTGCCCTCCTGAGACCCCCGGCCCTGGAACCCCGCGCCCGTGGAAACCCGCCTAGGCCTTCCCAGAGGCGCCTCGGGCCCCCGCCCCCTTCCGCCTGCGATGCCAGCTGGCGCCGATGGGCCGGGCGGACGGCTACAAAGTATCACGGCCAGGCCTCGGCCTCAATGCGGCCGGTGGGGGAGGGCACCGCGACCCCTCCTTGGCAGTGGGGAGGGAGCTGTGACCTAGGACCGACCCCACGGCGACCTTGAGTGCCCCCAGTCCAGTTGGGGCTGGAGTCACGCTGGTCCTCGCTGTCGGAAATCCACCTTGTCCTTGGCGCCATCCCTAGCCATGCTTGAGAAGGACTCTTTCCACGCGGACCAGCAGGAGGACCAACAGGCCGACCCCGCTGACCACGTGGGCCAGCACGTGGTTGCACCTTGCGGGGTCCCGGGCATCCTGAGGGTGGGGGGTCACCACCTGTTAGGTTTGCAGCTCTATGATTGTTGGATTCAGAGAGCTCTGAAGTGCTGTGGAAAGCCAGTTGTGGAGCGCCTGGAGCTGGTTCAAGGGGTGACAAAAGGCTGATTGGAAAAAAGTTTCTGTAACATCCTCGTGTATGCCCAAGCATATGCAAAAGACAGCCAGGCTTGGTGCCTGTCATCCCAGCTGTTAGGATGGGGGAGATCGCAAAGATCGAGGGTCACCGCTCCGCGATCCTGGACAAAAGTTAGTGACACCCCATCTCAATCAGTAAGTCAGCGCAGTGGCTCTATTCTGTATTGCTACACACTTGGAAGGCAGTGAGTAGGAAAAAGGAATCACACCCCACCACAGCAAAAAACGCTAGACCCTACCTGAAAGAAAGAAAGAAAAAGGTCAAAGGGCTTGGCTCAAGAAGTAGGCTGCCTGAGGGAGGCCCTGAGTTTAACTCCACACACACCTCAAAAAAATTTAAAAGACTTGGACAGAGACAGACAAGGCAGTGTTCCAACGCAATCCAAGCCTTTTGTTGGAAGATTTGCTAAATGTACCACGGTTCAAGAAGGGGGTCCTAGTTACTAATAATTGTGCTGAGGAAGGTGCATGACCGTGGTGTATGGTACAACCAAATGGTGTGTGTTGAGTGTGAGTGCCCTGAGTCCATCGGAAAGCAGAAAGGGAATTATATGTGCCACATTTAAACCATTACTGTCCCAGGGGTAACAGAATTCTTTTTGGAAATTTTATTAGACATTTAATTTTTCTTCTTTTTTCTTATCCATACTTTCTAATTTTTATAAAATGATGTTTCTTTATGGCTTTCCTTTTGAGGGGCAGCACTAGAGTTTGAACTTAGGGCCTCACACTTGCTAGGCAGGTGCTCTTACCACGTGAGCCACTGGTTTTCCATGTTTAAATTTCTTTTCAAGGAGTGGGAAGATAAGTGGACAGGTCAAGGGGAAGCAATCCTAACTGCCCATGAATAGGGAAGCTGGAGTGGCACAGCAGAAGTGTTGAACAGACCTCACAGTGGAGAAGATCTGTGAACTCCTCACTCACAAAGAAACCTTTCTGGGACCATCATCACAGGCTTCTTTAGGACACACCACCCAGGGCATAGGAATGTTCCTTGTTGCTTTCTATCCCCAAGATACCAATGAATTTAAAAATGCAATGGAAGTTAAAATGTCCAAGTACCTACATTATCAAACTGAAATAAACTCAATGAATTTCATGGTTCTTGTTCACATAATAACTGGTACAAAACCAGTTACTTTTTTTTTCTGTTGCTATTTGCTGAACACTCAGTGTCACAGGTAAGAGGTTATTGATTACATTGTTTTATTTCCCATCCTCTAAGGGAATTAAAAACCTTTCCAGAGGCCCTACATCAATAACTGGCTTCCCTTGACTGTCAATCCCCAAAGCCTCCGTTGTTTTCTTGAGATGCCTTTTTCTGCATTATCTAGGTGGGCTTGAAATTTCTGGACTTCAGTCAGTTCTCCTGCCTCAGCCTGTAGCTGGGACTATAGGTGCATACCACCACTTGGCTTCAAAGACTATGTCTTAACATCATCACTGTTTAACGTTTAAGTATTCTATATCAGAACAAACCTTTATAAAATTCACTTGCAATGGCGTTTCATTCTTGCAACACAAGGTAGTACCAAAGTCTAAGTAATCAAGACTCACATAAATTGGGCTCTTTCCCTCCACACTCCCAAATGGGAAATGTATTCTAAGGCATATTTAACTACTATTTTTAGATTTTATACTCCTTTTTGGACTGAGGCTACTTAAGGTAGATTCCCAGTCCAGTCATACATGTGTGACTTTGGACAAATTACTAGCCCTCTCCTCGATAAAATGGGGATTCTAGGACTGCTTTCTCTGTGGTATTCAGATAGAATCAATGCTCAAAAGGTGCTATCTTTATCATCATTTTGTTTCCTGTGAACACACTTAAATTCTGGCAAGTTACCCCTCATTAATTTTCCTTTTCAGAAATTTTCTGGAAATTTTTGCACTTTCCCTCATCATATTTATCTGCACATTTTTTTTGGTGGTAGTGGGGATTGAACCCAGGGCATCACACATGCTAGACAAGAGTGCTGTCATTTGCATTATAGCCCTAGCCTTTGCTACCTTTGTGGGGGCTGGCCTTGAAATTTCAGGTACCTGGGATTATAGGCATATGTGAACACATTTTATCACTCCTGGTTCACAGATGACTGGAGCCCATTGAAATAAGCCTCCTATGAACCACTGCTTCACCCAGAACCTTTCACCTCCAGGGTGTCTTCATCACCAGAGGCCGCCTTGAGGGGTCCCTGCCTCCTCACACTGCCCCATGAAACATTCTCTGTGGGTAGGAACCTCTCTGAAGATGTGCCTACATGAGAGCAGCTCATATCTATTGGTGATCAGTCCTTTGGGCTCTCTCCATGGGGTCATAGAACTAGACAGCCAGTCTTGCACTGAACACCTGGGGAACATGCCTGACAGGAAAGGGGGTTGCCTAACACACTGGCAGAATCCCATGAAGAACAGCAGGAGCATAGCAGCTCTCTAGGAAACAAAGTCTTGCAGCAGATCTGGATGGGGGCAGAGAATAGGAACAGAGAATTCTCAGTTTAAAGTACCCTCCACATACTGCCCTGGAAGGGATAAGAACAACCCCTGTTGGCTGTGAAAGGGATACAGACTGACCGCCATCATAAGGGTTAAAGCTATCTTTTTGCAAGCTCAGATGAGTTTGACTGCACCTCCAGCTGAGCTCTCCTGGAGGAACAAAGCCTCCCCCACAGGACTGGGACCCAGCAGGTGGAGGCCAACACTGCCTTGGAATCTGGGTCTATAACGCCCAGGCCGTGTATCCTAGAATAGTTTTTTTTTAAACTATGATACGCAAAATACCAACATTTTAACTAAAGACAAGATTGTTATTACAGACTTCCTTTTGCCCAAGACTCTTCACCAGCTCCAACTCTTTCTTTCCTTCTGTTTTGGGGTGAGGGGACTTAGACCATTTATTGGCGTATCTGCTAGATGGTGGTTCAACTCAGTCAATGCTCACAACTCTGCAAGGCGGATTCTGCCATCAATCCCAAATGTTAATGCCTACCAAAGTTTCAGTCACTGGCTTAGTGTCATGGGTAGAAAGTGGGCATGAGGTCCATCTGGTTCCAAATTTTATGTGTTTTACAATATGATCCACTACCTCTGGGATATGGGCCTCTGCCATCAAAGTGACTCATACAACCACATAGTTTGGGTGTCCACCAGGTTCTCACATCACTTAGCAGCAGACTGACTGGAGGGCAAGAAAGGAAGGAAGTCTTCATGTAATCTACCTTATATCACCACTCTGAAGACTTTCCTGACACTTATGTCCCAGGTCTATGGTGTACACTGACATCAGAGATGACTGATACTCCGTTTTTGAGACCATCTTCTTAAAAAAAGTACTGATTTCCTACCCCACATAGGGGAAGAAAAAGTAAGTTTATTTTTGTTGTAAAAAGATGAGTGGATGATCAGTAAGATATTTAACCAAGGCATTTTAAGTTAGCTAAATGTTACATCTGAAAAGCTTATTGCAAATAATGTCCAAGAAAATTAATGTGCACTGTGAAAGTTCTGAGTGTTAAAGATTCGATTCTTTATTTTTTCAGTTGAGGTACAACATGTATAAAGTACATACATCTTAGATACACATCCCTGGGTTTGTTTTAAGGATACAGTTGTCATTTCCAGAACCTTTGATGCTGTCACACCCTGCAGTAGTCACACTTTTTACTGCACCTTGGCCTGGTTTTCACCTTCTATCAGTGGAATCATCCCCTCACACTCAGATCTAGACAGCACCTAACAGTAATCACTATGCCCCTCCAGGCAGTGTGCCCCAAAGACAGAAACTGTTTGGCTTCTATTGTCATAGTCTAGTTTTGTCTTAAGTTTCATATAAACAAAATTACGCAGTATAAATTAAGTCTGGCTTGTTTTGCTCAACAGTGTTCTGAGACTTATCTATGCTGTTGCAAATATCAATGGCTCATTATTTTCTGTTGTGATAAGCCTATGATTTAATAAGCACCAATTGTTTATGCACTTACCTAGTGAACATCTGAGTTGCCCGCTGTCTGTGTATTATTAAAGATACTATGAACATTCTTGTGATACTTTTAAAAAGATAACTCATTCCTCATGCATGTAAGTATAAAAATGCTGAGTTATGGTGTTACCATGTTTGTTTTTAGAAAAAACTGTCAATTTTCCAAAGTAGGTATACAAGCTATGCTTGGAAGAAAGCTTCAAGTCCTCCGCATCCCTGAGAAAATTTGATATTGTCACTCTTCATTTTATCCATCCTGGAGGGTGTGTGGTGGCACGTCACTGAGGTATATCTGCATCCCTTAACGGCTGCTGGTGAGAGTATTTTCATATGCACGTTGTCCATTTCTTAATCCTTTCGCATGAAGTGTTTGCTCAAGTTCTTTGCCCATTTCCTATTGGGTTCTTACTTTCTTACGGATTTCTAACTGGTATGTTTTATTGTTTCATTAGAAAAATTCTCACTTGAGACTATTAAGCCCTGCTCTAGCATTATTCTTTCCATAGACTTTGAGTGCTATTCCTGAAGTTATGTCAGCACTTCTAGCTTCTACCAGGTAAGGTTGCCATGTGCGTTTTGTCTTATGAGTCTATTCTACCTTCCATGGCATATCAATGACAAAATACATTTTGCAGTGTTTCATACATTTAGGGCATAAACTGTAGCAAATATCTGCAATTCTTTCTTTATGCAAGCTTTCTCTTCTCTTCTGTAAATCATTTTTCACCCCAAGAATATTGAGGTTGATTCTGTATAATGAGCAGAACACAAGGATTGGGCATTCAGAAAGCATTATCTACACTTTTGGGGTTAGAGACAGGACTCTCTTCTCAAATAAATAGCACAAAAGGGAATGTTTCAGAAATACTCTGTTTTGAAGCTTTATATTCTTCCAAGATGGCCCTAATCTAACTGCAGGATCCCACTCTTTGCAGATTAATGCTCACTTTCCTAAAGAATATGATGAGACTGTGAAGAAAGGTGACTTTGTGAGTAAGCAACTGGCATTAATTTTCACTTACCTTACACTCCAGCAAGTCAACTGACTTGAAACACTATCTTGAAGGTCTTAAGCTCAGTATTTCCCATGTTATCCACAGCCATCAGAAACAGTCACCTCTTGGCCATAGTCCGGAATTATGATGTTTGAATTTTTTTCATTGGCAGCAACTACTTCATTTACCTAGAGCACCAATAAGCATGTGGATTTAGCAATTCACTACTTCACATTGGGGCTGAGTTTCTGCCATGGGATATAACTATAGACTTCACACCCTTCCTTCCTGACTTGGGAAACAATAGGCTCCTAATAGCCCTGCAAACTTCTGCCAGGGCTCACCCTCTAGCACCCATTTCTGAAATGGTTTGAGTTATTCAACCATAAGCATAGACACACACCACAGCAAACTTACCCAAACAAGGAACACAGTAGCTTGAATTAAAAGATACATGAAGTAGGTTAAGAGAAGAACGTAACAGCTGTTCTGGGAAATCCACACAAAAAGAACTAATCAATAATCACACCAACATGCTGCCATGGGAAAAAGCTTACTGATCTGTTCTTGATAACTCTATTAAAACCTAAAGTTGAGTCCTTCTGCGGTCAGTGATCATGCTGATTGTCAGGACACCTTGAGAGCTGGTTCCCTTGTGACCACAAACTGAGGACTGTGTCTCATAAACGAAACTGAGATGTCCCACGCAGTGAGAGAACAGATTCCATGAAGTGTGTGTCATACTGATTTCTGTGACTAAACTCGCAGCTTCCAGGACTGCTTATGAAGGTGAAATAGGAAAAATGTTTGTAAGGTTGAAATTCACTATTAATAAGCCACAGTACTCTAGTAAGAAGCTGCATTTTTTAAGAGGCAAAGAAACAATGTTGGTGTGCAGGGAAATCCTGGAATATGATACTGTATCTACTATATAATTTATGTTTCCTGTATGGCATTCACAAGTAACTATGCAAAATTCACATAGCAAATACAGGAAAACATCCAAATTATCTCTATATGTATTAGGATATTTTTTCTTGTTATATCTTGATTATTATATTTACACACAAAAAAGAATTTGTATGCTAACACCATTTATACTTGAGTATCTTCACTGATGTTTTCATAAAATTTGCAACACATGCACATAATTTCCCTTAAAATTTTATTATTATTATTATTATTATCATCATTATTTTGGCAATGAGGTTTGAACTTTCTAGGCAGGCACTAAAACCTGAGCCACACCCACAGCCCAGTATTATTATTTATAGTGCTGGGGATGGAACAGAAGGTCTCATACATGACAGGCAAGCAATCTACCACTGAACTACATCCTCAGATTTCTTAAAATTATTTATAAAGGAAACTTTTCTATATTAATAATAGGTACTTTTAGAATGAGTCTTCTGATATATAATAAAGTGACTCCTCTTATTGAGGTTTTACATTTGAAAATTCATAAATATTCATTCCAACTTTTTTTTGCTAGAAGTTTGCCATTTCTAGATGAAGAATGTCTCTAAATTATACCATGCTCCTCTGCCATTCATGGGTTCTATTCTTTTTCTCACTAAAGTCCTGATGTTTAGCAAACTATGAATGTCAAAGGAATCCAGTCTGTATTCATTTCTTTCACAGTTTCCCCTTTATACATTTCACAATTAATGAAGTAATTTGGCAACAATCATTTAAATCACACTTCCTCTCTCACTGTGAAGAGTGCTATGTGTGAGCTGGGTGCTCTCCTATGCTATGGATTGCCCTGCATATGCTATGCATTCATAAGGTCTCTGTTCAGTATTAGTTTTCTGGTGTACAATGATACCTTTAGAGTTTTGCTTCTATACGACTTTGCTGGTATCTCCTGTAAAATGCCTTTTGACAAAGTTTCTTACATGTAACTCACCCATATGTTTCTCATCTGCATGAGTTCTCTGATGCATAAGCTGTGACTTCCAACAGAAGACTTTCCCACATTCAGTGTGTTTACAGGTCTCTCTCCTCTGTGTCCTCTGATGTACACTGAGAATTGACTCCTGAGAGGTTTTTCCACAATCACTGCAACCCATAAGGTTTCTCTCCTGAATAAGTCTCTGATGTACAATGAGCTGAGATTTCCTAATGAAGGTTTTTCCACATTCACTGCATTCATTGGGTTTTTCTCTTTTATGCATTCTCTGATGTAAAACAAGCTGTAATTTCACACTGAAGGATTTGTCACACTGACTACATTTATAAGGATTTTGTCTCAAGTGAGTTCACTCATGTACAATGAGTAGTGACTTCCAAATGAAGGCTTTCCCACACTCACTACATCCATATGGTTTCTCTCCTGAATAGGTTCTCATGTGTATAATGAGGTATGTTTTGCTGCTAAGCGTTTTCCCACATTCACTACACCCATAGGGCTTCCCCCTGCATGAGTTCATTGGTGTGAAATGAGCTGGTCTTTCCTATTAAAAGCTTTCTCACATTCCATGCATTCATAGGGATTTTCTGTGTGTATTCTCTAATGCACAATAAGCTGTGAATTGAAACTGAAGGATTTCCCACACTCAACATTCATGGGGTTTCTCTCCTGTGTGTGTTTGTGTATGTATAGTAAGGTATGAGTTGCTCCTAAAGGCATTCCCACACTCACTGCATCCATATGGCTTACTCCCGTGTGACTTCTCTGATGTACAATGAGCTATGATTTCAAACTAAAGTGAAATCAGTGAGTCCTACATTCATTGCATTCACAGGGCTTTATTCCAGTGTGAGCTCCCTGATGTACAATGAGCTGTATCTTGAATGTAAAGGCCTTTCCACACTCAGTACAACCATACAGCTTCTCTCCTGTATGAGTTCTGTGATGTACAAGAGTTGACTTTCTATTAAAGACTTTCCAACATTGACTGCATTCAAAGGGTTTCTCTCCTATATGAATCCTGTGAATGTATAATAAGCTGGGACTTCAAGCCAAAAGCTTTCGCAGTCACTGCACTCATAGAACTTCTCCCCTGCATGAGTCCTCTGGTATGAAACAAGCAGATATTTCTGACTGAAGGCTTTCCCACATTCATGGCATTCATAGGGGATCTCTCCATCACATGCACAGGGTTTCATTTCTGTATGTCTTCTCTGATGTACAATGAGCTGTGACTTCAAACTGAATGCTTTCCCACACTGAATGCACCCATAGGGCTTTACTCCCATGTGAACTCCTTGATGTACAATGACCTGTCACTTGAACATGAAGGCCTTCCTGAATTCACTACATTGATAGGGTTTCTTCCCTGAGCTCTCTGGTGTACCATAAGGTTTGACTTTTTATTAAAGGTTTTCTGACATTTGCTGCATTCATATGGTTTCTCTTCTGCATGAATTCTTTGATGTATAATGAGCTGTGATTTCAAACCAAAATCTTTCCCACATTCATTACAACCATAGGGCTTCTGTCCTGAATGAATTCTCTGGTGTGAAATGAGCTGGTCTTTCCTACTGAAGACTTTCCCACATTTACAGCATTCATGAAGATTCTCACCTGTATGAAGTCTTTTGATGTAAAAGCAGTTGTGAATTAAAAATGAATGTTTTTCCACATTCATTGCATTTGTGAAGTTTTTCTCCTACATGAGATGTCTGATATACAAAGAGACATGGCTTAATGCTAAAGTCTTTCTCACATTCACTACATTCACAGGGTTTCTCCTCTGCATGAGTTTGCTGATGCACTACAGAGTCTGGCTCACCACTGGAGGCTTTCTCACAGTAACTACATTTAAAGGATTTTCCTCTTGATACACATGTTGGTGCACAAATTGTGACTTGCTGATAGTTGTTGCAGACTGATTCTTTTCACAGTATTTTATCCCAATGACAGTTTTCTCACATTTAGAATGAAGGAATGATTCTCTGAATATGAAAACCACCAGGATTCGTTCCAGAATAATTACTAGTGAAATCTGTATCACATTTCAAACATTTCCCATGTGTGCCACATTTATGAAGATTTTTGTCTTCAAGAAACACAATTTGAACTAAGACCACACAGTTTTCCAACTACAGCACATTCAGATTTTTTGCCATCCTTCCCAGATTGGCTTCACTTTCCTGATGCCATTTCATATGATCATCAATTTCCCAGATTTTGTCTGAAAGTGAAAAAGGGTTAGCCAAATGTTATAAATAAAAACACAATCCTGTCAAGGTTCAAGGCCAGCTCAGGCAAATACTTCTCAAGACGCCATCTCCAAAATAAGCACAGCAAAATGGAAGTATGGCTCAGGTGGCAGAGTGCCTGCTTTGCAGATGCAAAGCCCTGAGTTCAAAGCCTCATCCCACAAAAAAAAAAAGATATAGTATAAAACTGCATGGGAGGGGAAGGTAGAGGAGGAGGAGGAGAAATAAAAACTGACAAGGAATAAAGATGATTTTGAGTAATAAAGTTTTGTATAATGGTTAACAAAAGCAAAAGAGCCTCAAATGAGGATAATATAGAGAAGTTGTTAAGGGATTGCACAGCATTAGTTTAACTCACCCTATTAGCTACTGAACATCTATTATGTGCCAAACACTGTGTGAAGCCCTCAAGAAATGGCAGAGAATACCACAGATTAGTTAGTTCTCAGTCCTCTTGGGAACACTGTCCCACTGAAGACCTAGATGAATGGATGTAAGGAACATCATCACAAAATTTCAAAACACTTGGAGCAAAAAGCAGCTCGAAGAGTTCCAGAGGAACAACAAAATCAAAACAGTTTCACATAATGAACCAACAATTAAATGGCATCTGACATTAGCAACACATTAGACAGAAAATATTTTCAGAGGTCTAGGTCTCAAAGTTTGTATCACATGCACCATTCACAGGAAGCTACTGGAGGAGCTACTCAAACAAAACAAATCAAGAAAAAGGTGACAAAGCTTATAGAAACCAAAATCAGGATGGAGAACCCAGGATAAAAATTGTAGAGCAGATACTGAGAAAAACTAGACTACCTGGGATGATTTCACCAGGAAGATGAAATGGATAAAATTACTCATTTGGCTGAATATTCCAAAAGAATATTTAAAAGAAAGAGAGGGCTCCAGGTGTGTCACTGTGGTACAATACTTGCCTAACATGAGTGAGGCCCTGATTTGGTCCCCACTACTGCAAAAGAAAAACAGTTTTTTAAATCTTCTAAGTTTTGGGAAGAATGGTCTTCAGTGAAGTTAATGATAAATACATTAAGAGCAGGAAGAGAAAATGTTACAAACGCAAATAAAATAATTAAATTTAGAAAAAAATTATTAAAAATTAATCAGTGTATATTTCCAATGGTTTACCTGTATCAGAAATTACATAGTCATAATAATGCAAAACCTGAAGATTGACCAAACACATGAAATAACTATATTAAGAGGATGGGGCATAAGAAGAGAGTGCATATGTGTTGGGGAGGTTTGCAGAGAGAATTAAGTCACCCCTCTATACTGAGAAATCATTAGGCTGGTGAAATGGTTCAAATAGTAGAGCGCCTGTCTAGAAAGTGTGTAGGCCCAGAATTCAAACTGCAATACCATACACACACACACACACACACACACACACAAAGGACTCAAACTGAGTAATCATTAGGGGAGAAAAGTCAAGGCACAATAGAACAGCTGGTTTCGAAACATGAAGGTAACATAAGAGTTAAAAAGAGATGAAAGTGGTTGTTTCTGGACATACAGGATGGGGCAGGCTGCTGTTTTAAAATAAAAACAAAGAAAAAGTAAAAGATATGAAGTAGAGAGGACTGGGGAGGTAGTTCAGTGGTAGAGTATCTGCACAGCATGCCAGAGGCTTTGGGTTCAGTTACCAGCAACACACATGCATGTGCACACATGCACACACATGTAAATAGGGGCTAAGATAGACAATCAAGCCCTCATGCACAAGAGCAAATACTGAAGAAAAGTGGGCTGGTGGAGTGGTGGAGTGGCTCAAGTGGTAGAGCACCTGCCTAACAAATGTGATGCCCTGAATTCAAACCCCAGTATTGCCAAAAAAAAAAAAAAAACATAGAGAAGAGAGAACAGGTAAGACTCAATCTAGATGGTCCAAAGTAATATGCTGGCCAGAGTACTGAACAGAAACTGGTATCAAAAGAAGACAGAAATAGCAGATCAGACAATTCCACTCAAGGTTTAATGTGATAAAACTTCGAGTAGTTTTTTACCTACTAAATCTGACACACTTATTCTTTTTAAATACATCCAAACAAATTACATTTCCCCCAAAATCACATAGTATCTTCCCATGGATGCACTAAGAAGTGAACATGACCACTTCTGACTATCACAATGGCTTGGAGGGAAAGTGCCTGGCTATTAGATGATGATACAGTCAAAGCATCTTCATCAGATTTGCTCTTGTGTCTGGCTGTCACCACTACCCATCCCTATAGACTCTGTTTCAGAGTTTATGGATTCTGAAGCAGTCCTGACCACCAAACCCTGTCCTTTACCTTCCTCCTGTGACTGTTCCATGGCTGCCCTCATGTTGGTTCTCACAGCTCTGGCTTCCACTGTATGGTGGTCCCAGGAAATCTAATGCACCTTCTGTTGAGCATCCTTTTAGCAATACTGATGGCAAAAATAGAGTGTTATGGTTGGTATCTCAAGAGAGAGCTCAAAGAATTAAAAGAAATCAGGAAAAAATACTGAAGCCAATGGCTAGAAAACAGGAATTCATAAGCTTAAAGATTACTTAAGGCCATGTATGGTGATTCATGTCTATAATCCCACCTACTTGGGAGGTTGAGATGGGGAGGATTGCAATTCAAGGCCAGTCCAGGGAAAGTTGCAAGACCCCATCTTAACCAATAGCTGGCATGTTCCTGTCAGCCCAGCTACACTTGGTAAGCTTAAATAGGAGGAGCCAGTCTAGGCATAAACACAGGATAACCAACGCAAAAGGGCTAATGGAGAAGCTCAGTGCACCTGCCTAATAAGTGTGATGCCTTCAGTTCAACCCTCAGTACCACCAAAAAAAAAGTATTTAAACACAATTAAAAACTGTATTAAACATGATTCCTGGATATAGTATACATATAGGTACAAATATGAGATTCCAAACTCGCACCAACAGAACTGAGATTTTGGTGGTACTGGGATTTGAACTCAGGGCTTCGTGCTTGCTAGGCAGGTGGTCTACTACTTAAGCCACTGCTCCAGCCCTCAGAACTAAGATTTTGAAGCTACAGAAAAGCAACTCCATGTTAAGTTTAACTACAGATGGCAAAAAACAAGTCAAATATACTCGGGGAGCAGAAACTGAAACTCAGGTTCATCAGGACTGAGCTTGCTGCCATGAAAGGTCATGCTGGCAAAGCCTGCTGACCAGAATTTCATACACTATAAACCAGTGGCTACTATGTGACTCCCACTGTAATGACCACTGTCTACCACTCTATATGTGGATGGTTCTATGTGGATAACATCTTTAATTACAGGTTCCCAGACCATAAAGGAACAAGTCTGGCTGGGATAGGAAGCTAGTATTTGCATTAATGCAGTGTAAGGCAATAGTATGAATTGATGAATACTTTTGAAGATGACTGGCTGGTAAGAGAAGGACGATCTGGGGTGCTAGTGGCTCACACCTGTAATCTTAGCTACTCGGGAGGCAGTGATCAGAAGGATCACTACTACTACTAGCCCAGGCAAGTAGTTCATGAGACTCTATCTTGAAAATAACTTACACAAAAAATAAATAAATAAATAAAGAGGCTGGCAGAAGAGTTCAAGTGGAAGAGCACCTGTCTAGCAAGAATGAAGCCCCGAGTTCAAGCCCCAATACTACAAAAAAAAAAAAAAAGGAGGAGGACCGGATGCTACCTAGGTAGAGAAGTGAGCAAAGACAGTGCTACCATTCCAGCGGTTCATTTGTCTTTTTCCAGGTGTGTGGAAACCTGGTTTTTGCACCCGGACCCTTAAGGTCATGTTTCCTTCACAGATCTGAAGATCCATCTCCACTTCCAAAGAGTAAAGCAGGACTGATTTGGACTAATTGTTATCATCCTAGTTCCCTTGCCCAAGGCTTCTATAGACAAGGGCATGTGATAGAAACCTTGCCTACTGGACAGGATATACTCTTCTGTAGGATTCTGGGGATATGTTTACCACCTGATGGGGTCATACAGAATGAAAGAATACTTATTCTATTGGCCACAGAGATAGCTGCCTGTGTCAGCTGGAACTGAAACAGCAACGAAGGTGGATGCTATGGTTTGAATATGGTTTCCCTCTGAAACTCATGGTAAAATGTCCTCAATGTTACAGTTCTGAGACAACGTGATTAGGTTAGTAAGAGGGGTTAATGCAGTTCTTGCTTTTTTGAAATGGAATTACTTACCATAAGAGCAGGGTGTTCATAAAGAATGAAATTATGTCATTTTCAGGAAAATGGACAGAAGTAGAGATTGTCATGTTAAGCAAAATAAGCCAGACTAAGAAACACAAATATTACATGTTCTCTCTCATATGCAGAACCTAGTCCTTAAAAATTAATAACAGGAGCTGGGCACCAGTGGCTCACATCTATAATCCTAGCTACTCAGGAGACAGAGATCAGGAGGATCTCAGTTCAAAGCCAGCCCTAGGCAAATAGTTCACAAGACTCTATCTCAAAAATACTCAACACAAAAAAGGGTTGGCAGAGTAGCTCAAGTGGTAGAGCACCTGCCGAGCAAGCATAAGGACCTGAGCTCAAATCCCAGTGTCACCAAAAAAAATGAATAACAGGAATGTAAAACAGGTTCTATTGGGGGTGGGTAGCAGCAGAAGGGAGGAAGGCAAAAGAAGACAGTAAATGGGTGTGCAAATAAGATCAAAATACTTTATACCCATGTATGAAAACAGAAGTATAATGAATGTTTTAAGAGCAAGTGAGGGGGAAGGAGAGACTAGGGACATGGCTCAAGTGGTAGAGCATTTGATCAGCAAGTTCAAGGCCCTGAGTTCAAACCTCAATACAACCAAAAAAAAGGGGGAGAGAGGATAGAGGGAGTGAAATCAATCGAGGTACACTGTATGTAAAGTGTAGAAGTAGTGTAATGAAACCCCTTGTTACAAATAATATATGCCAAGAAAAAACAAAGGGGGAGCAAAAAAGAGCAGGCTGTTTCCAAGTGGGGCTGCTCCTTGTGTTCTGTCTCTCCCATGGCTTGCCCTTTCAAGGCTTGCCCTTCCAAGGCTTGCCCTTCCAATTTTGCACCATGTTATGATGCAAAAGAAACTCTTGGCAAGATGTGGCCTCCTGATCTTAGACTTCCAGACTCTAAAACTATGAGCAAAATAAACATTTCATCTATAAATTAACCAGTCTCAGATATTCTGTTATGGTAGCAGAAAATGGACTAAGCAAGACAGGAAAATTCTGATGGAACAGCAGAGAAGAGATAGGCTCTCAATAATATGCCAAGTTAATTACAGAGTCAACCCTGGAGTTGACCCACTCAGGACCTTTTGTGGTATACAGTAGTAAATCATGTCTACTTAAATTTTCAGTTTAGGATTGATCAAAAATTACAGCTGAAAAATCAAGGACTAATTGTTCCTTTATCCTATCACTAAATAAACAGGATGATTCAGAAAATATATCTGATAGTACCATCCAAGATGAATTAGTATAAAGAGTCAAAGGAATAAAATTGACCAAGAAGTAGAAAATCCATACCTGACTCTCTAATGCCAGGAAAAATAAGTAGAAACCAGAGAAACAATGAAAAAGGTGAGGAAAAGGTAGCATGTAGCTGTGAAGCAGTGGAAGAGATGCTTCCAGTTTTTGAAAATGAGGCCGGAAAGTGGCAAGGGTACAGGAGAGCAAGAAGGCATAAAAGAAAGAGAACTTAGTAGAGTGATGTGAGAGCAGGTCCCATGCAGTCACTGAAGTGAGGGGAGTGGTGAAGACTTCATCTGATGCAAAAATATGCTGAGAAGGGCAGAGTGATAATGTTAACACAATAAGCATAGACAGCATAAAAGAGCAGAATCCCCCAATATGTTTCAAAGAGAAGGATAAAGCCAGAGATACGATTGTTGAATTTAAGTAAAAGCAAATTAAAAAGAAGGTAGAAGGGCTGTGAAACTCACATCAAATGAGGTAAAGAGCAGGCTGGAGATGTGGTTCAAGTGGTAGAGTATCTACTTTTCAAGTACAAAGCCCTGAATTCAAACTCCAAACCCACCAAAAAAAATATATTGAGGTAAAGAGGGAAATCTTGCTTCAATGGTAATAAAATGACTGTTTACACAGACAGTAATAACTGAGGTCCCAAGGGAAGAGATGGACTAACAGAATATGCGAGCCCGTGGTCATAAATGAGAGAAAAACAGTACCAACAAGAGGGCACATCACATCAGAATCCACACCACTTCTGAATGAGAGGGAAACGATCTAAGCATCTCCACCACTCAACCTTACCGCTTTCTGATCCTACAACATGCCTTGCGTGGGCATTTGGGCCTGCATCATCCACAATTCTTCTTGTTCCAACCTGAAGATGATATTGGGTTTAGTGTGCTGATACCCTGTGAACAGAACATCACAGACAACATAGACCAAAATTGCATGGGATTTGGAGACTGGGGAAAATTTGATTTACAGACGGTATGATGAAGTTGCACTTTTGCACTTTGGCAAGGTAAAGTCCATTCAACCAGCACACACTGATGCCAATGGGAGACAGAAAATCTGGCCTTTAAGTATAAAAGTCTACCATTTTTAAGTATTTCACAGACCCAACCCTCCCCACCCTCCAGCTTTCAACAAACAGATGAACCTTTTTGCTCAGGAGGGGAGGCCTAAGGATTGTACATACTCCTCTTCAGGGAACAAGCACCTACCCAGGAACACCAGGTGGCTGTAGTTCTCCAGCATCACACTCCTGTACAGGCATTTCTGTACTGGGTCCAACAGCCGCCACTCCTCCATGAATGACAGTGGTCCCTGAAACAGAGATGGTCATCCAATCACAAGTTATCTTACTGAGCTTGTGGAAAATTACAAGCTGCTTGGGGAGTTTATTTACATTCTACTTTGTGAAAAAGCAAAAATTACATTGAAAGCATCCATCAATGTGTATCAAACCATGCGATTAAAAAAGACAAGGCAGGAAAAAAAAAGTAAGTATTAACCGAGGGAAAGTTAACCACCCCCGCCCAAAAAAAAAAAAAAACCCAAAACAACAGCACCAAAAAAAAATTTGCAAATAAGTAACTAGTTAATGCTCCACATACTAGAGATTTAGAGATGGGACTACAAATGTCTAGAATATAGTATGACTATACACCACATATATTCACACCAAGAATAAGGTGGACTAATGGATGCACAGAGGGATGAAAAGATGGACACTGTGAAAACACAATTGTAGTAAAATGCTAACAGTAAATTCTAGGTACTACCTGCTGGTAAAAATTCTTTCAACTCTGTATGTATTTGAAAACTTTTGTAACAAAAACCTTTTATAGGCTGAGCATAGTGGTACATGCCTGTGATCCCAGTACGCTGGAAGCTGAAGGATTACAAGTTTAAGGTTGACACTAACTCCATAGGGAATTCTAGGCCAGCATGAGCTACATAACAGGAAAGAAAAAAATTTTTTGATGGTAAAAGTACCTAGTTAAAATCTACATATGAGATTTGTATCCAGTCTGTTTTAAACTTTAATACACATGAAGCAAAGAATTTTGTAACAATGGCGTCTGATATTAACTGTTGTAAAAATGACTCTAAAATTAAGGATTGAGGTAGAATCTGAAATTTTGTACTTCTAACAGCTTCTAGAACAATATACAGTTTATAAATACATATAAACAGAAGAACACTCATAAGATACAGAATAATTTGGGGATTAAGGAAAGAGAAGACAAATGAGTATGTAAAAATAAGGAAATATAGGGACCTCACTTGCACTAGTTATGTATAAGAAGGCCACAAACTGAGAAGTGATTAACTTAACCCTTTGCCTAAGTAAGGATTGTCACCCTCCCAACCCTACATCCCCTCAGCCACTGCCCCATCCCCCAAAAAAGTTATATAAAGAAAGGAAGGGAAGTGAATAAATAAGCAACTCACCCAGGACTTGGAGATTTTCAGCTGTTCTTGGGAAATTAACAGCCACTCTAGGACTTCTTCTGTCCTGTGGTTCCTGGGCCTCTGCCCAGCTACTCCAAGGAGAGGCTGGTTGTATGCGCTTTCACCCAGGGTGGATTCCTAACCTTACCGCTTTCTGATCCTACAACATGAACTGTCTCCTTCCTGCAGAGGTGGGACCTGTGGACTCAAGAGGAAACTCACTGTAGAGAGTTTATCTCTGGCTGGTGACTCACACTTACAAGGAGGCCAGGCTACGTGTTCTACAGACTGTGATCAGCAGGGCAAGAGTATGAGTAATTAAGAGGGAAGAGAAAAGGTCAGATAGGAAGACGGCAGGATCCAAAGGGGGATTATTCCAGAACTGACTTCAACAACAAAAGATACCATGTAAATGTTAGAACAACCCATTAGAAAACACCAAGAAACTCCAAGAAACACAAGATTAGAGGCAAAAACAAAGGCTCCTCATGAGGTGCAGTACTGAGAGTCATGTTCATGGTGTCAACAGAGACAAGAGCCTCTAACATGAAACTAGAGAAAGATATCATGCCCCTGTCCAGCTGCAGAGAGGAACTCTTACCCCCAAACAGAATGGCCTCTTCTCTCCTCTCTCTCTCTTGTCTCTCTCTCTCTCCTCTCCTCTTCTCTCTCTCTCTCTCTCTCTTTTTCCTCTCTCTCTTCTCTCTCTCCCTCTCTCCCTTGCCCTTTCTCTCTGTCTTTGCAGAGCGTGCAATTAAACCCAGGGCCTTATGCATGCTAGGATACAGAATGAAGTTTAAACTCGGAGCTTCCATCAGTCTCACTCACACAAGCCCAGCTCCTACTAGAAGAGGGCCTGGCACATAGTGGATGCTTAATAAACATCTGGAGAATGAACAAATAAAGGCATGTTTCAAAAAACAAAGGATATGATTTACATCTCTAACAGGTACTTAGAAACTGCTTTTGCTAAACTGCACAGACTCCTCTTAAGCCCAGAAGTTAACCAAAAGCAGCAGGATAAAAGTCTGTGCCTCTGTCTCCTTTGTCTTAAAACTTTGGGTCAGGCTTCTGTTTAACTCTGCCTATAGGCATGTTAATCGTTCAAGGAGCATTTATCTAAAAAACAGTGATATCTAACCAATCTCATTCACCCTTTGAGGATGACGGTACAAAGACAGGAGTACTGTCAATTTTACAAACTCCTATTTCAGACCCCCAGGCCCCCAAAAGAGTGCCCAAGAGTGTCCAATCATTGTCCTAAGCTTACAGTACCTTGAAATCGAGGAACAACAGTGCTTTACAAACAGATTACCCCAAGATAAGATCACTCCCCAAAGCAGAAGCAATCAGTTCAGCAGAACTGATTGTTCCCTGAAGCTGTAAGAACTTCTTTGAACCACTTTGTAGGACCAGAACTAAGATAATGATCAACCATACTACACTCTGACCAAGACTGCTTAATTATGCATAACTTTCACCCCTGCCACAATTCTTCCTCTACTTAAACCTAAGCTCATGTCAGTATCCCAAAGATAAGCTGAAATGCTTGATTTTGCTCTTCCCATGGTGCTGTCACATTAACAATTCTTTCTCTGCTCTTCACCACTACTAATTTCTTTTAACTGGCATACGGGGGTGAATGGCCAGATCTGACATACTGGAATCCCCTAAATTGGACTTCTGCCCTAGGACTCTGCTTACACTATTAAGGTGCAGGATGTATACTGTACTATTAAGAACTCAGAATTTGTAACCTGACTGCCTTGATTTGCATTCTGAATTCTGCTACTTACATGCAGTTTATTTTGGGGGGGTGGGGTCTCAGGTTTTGAACTAAGAGCTGTGCACTGTTATGCAGGCACTCTACCATTTGAGCCATGCCCTCAGCCCTTTATTTTTGAGATATACTCTTGCATTTTTTGCATGGGCCTGCCTGGACCAGAATCCTCCTACTTATGCTTCCCCCTTAGCTGGGACAAAAGGTACATGCCACCATCCCCAGCTTTTTTATTAAGATGTGGTCTCAATAACCTTTTGTCTGGGCTGGCCTCAAACCACAGTCCTCTCAATCTCCTCCTCCCACCTAGCTGGAATTACAGGTGTGACCCACTGCATCCAGTTGATGCTGTGTGATATTAACAAAGCACTTTACCTAACTGTCACAATTTTCTCATCTGTAAAGTACAATAGTATCTTTCTCATGAAGCTGCTGTGAGGATTAAAGTTAATATCTGTAAAGTGCTTAGACCTGTGGCTGGGACAGATAAATGCTGGCTCCTACACTGAAGGTGCAAAGCTCTCTTTATATAACACCTCTGCATTTCTTAGGCTGATTATATCTTTTTATTGCTACTGTAAATAGAATGCTTTCTTTAGTTGTACTTTCTAAACAGATATTATTTAAAAATAGGAAATCTTTTGATTTTTAGACTGATTATGTACAAAGGTATCTCACTGGATTATCCATAGGATACCGCTCTCTTCCCATCACTATAATGTACCCTTATTCCCATTTCCGCAACTGACGTTCCCACTATCGCATTATCTTCACCTTCCTCCCCTAATAGGCATCACCCCCACACAGGCATATTTTGCTCTAGAAATAATACCAGCAACACCCACCACTTAATGCAATTTAGGTTTTCATGACTACTATGAGTTAAATGTTTTTTCCTTTCAAAATTGATGTTAAAACTCAATCCTCATTGTGGTGGAATGGAGTCTTTTTTGGGGGGGAAATTATTAAGTTATGAGCACTGTGCCCTCACGAATAGGATTAATGCCCTTATACAAGAGTCTTCTGAGAGCTGCCTGATCCTTCCAACTCTTCTGCCAGGTAAGAACACAGCACTTGTCCCTTTTTACACACTGAATCTGAGGTTCCTATATCTTAGACGAACTGTGAACATACAAATTTCTGTTTTTTATATTACCCAGTCTATGACACTTAGTTACAGAAGCACAAACAAACTAACATTACTTGACCTCTCTGGGCCATCTTACATAGCAACCGTTTTTCAGGTTTCCTTTCCTTTAACTCTAAAACACAAATCTTTCCTTATTTTCCCATACTTTTCTTGGGTTCCATCTTAAGTCTCCAGCCCCTCTGTTCTTGCCATCCCTTGTCTCTTCAGTTCCCTTTTCAGGTTGTACATTCTCCCTGAGCTAATATGAGCACATCTAATCAGTGTAACCCCATCCAGAACTTTCTCTCAAAACACATGCCTATCTACCTATCCATCAGCAACCTCTACCTGAAAAGTCCAATGCACACAAAACTGAAATCTCTCCCCCTATTAACATTTGACAGTCTTCCCTTCATTGCGGAATGATGCTATTCCAAACCCAGAACTTCAAAGCAGAACTCTGGTGTTCACACCTGGCTCTTCTGTGTCCTTTATTGCCAATATTCAATTAGTTACCAAATCCACTTGCTTCTGTTTCTTTACATCCTCTTTTTTTCTCAGAGTCACTAGTTTACTGAAACCCTTGTTTTCTTTTGCCAGCTGCAGACTGCTCCATCCAAAAATCCTCTGTGAAAACACCTCAACAGTTCTCCCTCCCCTATGGGAGGAAATCCAAGTTCTTAATGGAGTCCACAAACATCTCTATGATCTGGTCTCTACCTATGGATCTGGTCTGGTTTTTTTTTTTTTTGAGACACTCACTATGTAGCTCAAGTTGGCCTCAAACTCAAGATCCTCCTGTCTCAGCCTCCCAAATGCTGGGATTAGAGGCATGTAACACCACACCCAGCTCTTGGCCTTCTTCCTTTCTTTCTTTTCCCTTTCCTTTCCTTTCCTTTTCCTTCCTTGCTCCCTCCCTCTCTGTTTTTACATTTGGGGAGGGCATTGTTATTGGGTGTTGAATCCAGGGCCTGGACTTGCTAAGTAAACACTCTACTACTAAGCTACATCTACAACAGTTTTGTTAGAATTTTATTTTTGAGATAGGGTCTCACCAACTTTGCCTGGACTGGCCTTGAACTCTCACAGTCTTCTTGCCTCCATCTCCTGAGTAGCTAGGATTACAGGTTTGCACCACCATGCCCAGCAGGCCTCATTTATAAATGTACACCTCCACCAACCTCCATTAAGCCCAAAAACTCTACATTCAAGAAACCTAAAAAGCTCCCAAGTGCACCAACATACTAGGTCATTTCAAGTCTCTCAAAATTTTCATGTTACTATCTTTTCATGGCCTGGTTTTTGGTCCATTGTTCACCTCACTTATACTTCAAACCTTGGTTTAAGAAAGAATCTCTTAATCTCTGAAGCATTTCTTGGGATGTCCTTCCAAAACTGACTCTCTGCTGTGTTTTCCATGCACTTTAGCAACCTACTCACTTGTCATTGTGCTTTCCTTGTCCACCATCCCCTCCAGACCATTGCTCTTTCAAGGCAGGGGCAATGAACACCCATCTCTGCATTCCTTGCATCTGCCTTAGGAACCAACAAACAAAAGAAAATTAACATAATTGTTGAATAAGAGAATACACAAGTGTGTAATTTCCCAGATAAGGCTCACAGATCTCAGGCAGATAAGACACTCAGTAAATACAAATAGAAGAAACTGAAAGATGGGTAGTTACCCCTGTTTAACGCATAGTTCAGGTATGGGAGAAAGGGGATTGAAGTTAGCAAGATGGCAAGAAGCACTGCTGGAAAGTGTACCATCCTCTAAAGGAGGCCGAAAGGGCAGTGGGGTGAGAACTCACAGCAAGCTCAGACTCTGGAAGAGGAATGCGTTCACGAAATTCTGGGAGAGTTTTCCAGGAGTGAGAGAAAACCCCTACTCAGCCAGACAGAAGTGGTCCGGACCCTGGCAGCCATCCCCACCGTCCGCTTTTTGCGCCTCACGACAGACAACAGGTCCCGAGGGCAGGTAGAACAGAGGGCACGGTGAGGGAAGTGGTCACCTGTGGCTCACACCCCACAGAGGAGGGCTGCTGGCCTTCCTGGCGGAGACCCTGCCCTACACAACCCCAGGGCTCCCCATCTCCACCCCCTCAGCAACAACCAAGCCGGCCAGGGAACCACTGGGTCTGCCGCAGGATACTGCGGCCAGACTGCTTTTGCACCTTTCCGCCGCCTTGAGCCTGGAGACACTGAGAGAGTCCCGCTCCTCCAGCCCTAATAGGCAGCAGAAAGACTCAGGGGAGCCTGGCTGCCTCCAACTGCCGGACCTGACCCAAGACGGCTCACGCGAGGACGGCTTGGTCCTCGCTCCGGACTCCACGGCGTCCGCCCCAACGAGCGAAACCAACTGACTCAACCCCCAGAGGCCGGGTGAACCCGACTGGAGGCGCCGACGCGGAAAAGCGATCTCCCTACCTGAGCTGACAGATGGCTGCCGTTACGGACGCACAGGAAATGCGTCACGCGACCCAGGAATTGGAAACTACATATCCCGGAAGTCTCTCTGCCCGGTGGCAGCGCGCCGGCCGCCAGGGGCGGGCGCAAGACAGTGCCAAGGCGTGAGCAGCCGGATCACGTAAAATGCTTGTTGGCAAAGGCGCAAAGGTCAGAGGAATGTGAATGTTTGACAAGTTTGCTCGTCCCCGCTTTTCCAAGTGGTAAAAGTCTTAATTCACATTTTAATAACAACATATTAACAAATACATTTTAATGAAAACTAAATACATTTTCTAAAACAAAAATAGTGAGGAGTGGCATCGTTTTACGTTTGGGGAATCTTTTTACTAGCTTGCTTAAAAGAAAACGGCTGGATTCTCATATTACTCAATTGTTGCATGTGTTTCTGATTTTTCTGGATGGGAATATAGTACCTGCTGAACGAGGGATAGAGTTTTGCGGTGTACAATCGAGCCATATAGATAAACACTTCTCTATTACGTTAAAAATCCATTGATCTACCTTGTACTTTTAATGGGTTCTCTTAGGATTTTGTAAGACTGTATAGTGACAGGAAAGTATTGGCTGAGTTATGCGATCTTCCCAAGAGTGACACATTTCATTATGCATTTATCTTAAGTATCGTGAAGCTGTGAAGTTCAGTAGCAGATACAAGTTTCCCAAATTTTTATTTTTCACCCCCAAACTCAATTTTATTTGCTTGTTTTTGCAGTGCTGGACATGGAACTTAGGACCTTGTGCAATGCTAGACAAGTTTTCTGCCACCAAGCTACACCCGTGGTCCCAGAAAAATCTCAATTTTATATTTGCAAAAAATATTGTCACTTGTTTACCTTCAAGTGAGAACTGACTTCGTTGATTTATGGAGAAAATATCTGCCAAGGTCTCTAAAACCTTCTTTAATGCAAATTTCAGTTCCCAGTTAAAATATACACGGGCTACACGGGCTTTCTCTGAGATAATTGGAACTTCAGTGTACAGCAAAGAATGTTAACTGCACAGATATTTAAAAGATACGTACTCATAGTTGGAATTTAATAAGATTATTTCTACTGCTTAATTAGGGACAGAGTGAAGTGAACCTGATCCCATTTTCTTAACTACAACCGTGGAGTTGTGAATACAATGGTTTTACCACTATTGTTTTTACAGTATCAGTGCAAATGTCAACAAGGTACATAAAATCTCATGTTCAGAAATCTCAGTGCGCACTGTACAGTTCTGGCCCTCATACAGAATTACGCACTTAGTTGTCACGTCCTTACAGTCTCCTTCGAATGACAGCAATACCTCAGCCTTTCATAACATTACACTTGCATAACATTAACACTTTCAAGATGTACAGATGAAATATTTTCAGAGTAAGCCTCAATTTTTTGGTATTTACTCATAACTAAATTCAGTTTATGCATCTTTGGGCATGTTACAGAAATTGAGATGAGTTCTCATTAAACCTATCAGATGAAACATTTTTGTCACATTAGTAGTAATATTTAATCACTTGATTAAAGTAAGTTGATCAGCCATTATCACTGCAAAGTTACTCATTTTCTCTTTGTAATTGATGGATATTGTATGGTAAGGTACTTGAGATTGTGTAAATACCCCATTCCTCAGTGAACTTTCAACAATTCCTTTATTTTTTCATATTAATGTGGATTTGTAGAGGGCTGGGGCACAAGGTCCTGGGTTCAGTCCCTAGTACTAAAAAAGAAAATGTATTTGTAGATTCCTATTTGACTTAATGTGTATCTTACCATCATTATGTATTTAATGTTCCAACTGTCGCAGATTTTATCGTTAAGAACCACATGAAACAAGCCCTGCATCATTTTGACATGGCATCTTCATTCTTTGAACTCCTCCTTACTTCCAATCTCACTTATACTTTCCCAGCCCCAAGCCTGAAAACAGCCATTTCGCCAAGATGCAGTACAGATTGGTTTTCCAAGGATCTCCGCAGTTTGTGTTTACTGTCCTGGTATAAATATTTCACTTTAAAAGTGTTCCAACTTAGAATCATAAGCAAATTCTTATACATGATACCTTCCTGGCATGCTTCCCCACTTGTTTCAACATAAAACACAGGTCTCCCTTACCAAGATATATTTTTCTTATTCTACATTAGTTGCTCTTATTTTTTTGGCACTGGGGTTTGAACTCAGAGCCTCACACTTGCTAGGCAGGTGTTCTACCACCTGAGCCACCAGAGCCCGGCTCACAGTATTAATTACTGTGTATCACCGCTTCAGAAGATGAGAATGACAAATTTCACAGAGAGCATAGGAAACAAGTCACACAGGATCTAGCACTGAGTTGATGGCACTGCAAATGTGGATCAGCTGTTTGCCAACTGTACAACCAAGAATAATTTCACTCTTAGGCATATGCCTCAGAAAAAATTAAAGGTACAAACACAAAGATTTGTAAAGGAATGTTTATAGTAGCCATATAGAATAGTTAAATAGTGAAAACAGCCCAGGTGTTTCCAACAAGATAAATGTGTTACGTTCATACAGTGTAGTAGTATTCTCAGTAAAATAGCACATATACTAAAATCAGAACCAGACAGAGATTAGATGGCCCCTGCACAAGGGTGACAAATTCACAAAGTGTTCCATATTTTTAAAAACAGACAAAAACAAACCACTGATGGATGCACCCGAGTAAGTCAAAGAAACCAACCACAAAAGTGAACAAGCTGATTCCATTTGTTTGAAATCCAGAAGCATACTCACAACCATTTTGTCTTGGTGGCACTGGGGCTTGAACTCAAAGCCTCATGCTTGCTAGGCAGGCCCTCTACCTAACTTGACCCGCTCCACCAGCCATTTGTTTTTATGGTGCGTTTATTTCCATGTACTTGAGCTTACTCCATTCTGACACTGGTTATGCTTTCTTCCAAGTACAGTGTCAATATTCTCCTGTTACCAGAGTTTCAGTGTACATAACATGTCTACATAATATTCTACTACATGGATATATCATAAATAACCATGAACTACACATTTGTATTTTGCCAATTACACACTATAATAAAAGACTCTAGGGAACATCTAGATGTCTTCCCCTGTCCACACATAAGGTGAGTTCCTCAGGGTGTTAGTAGTATTCACAACTCACACATACCCACCTATGTGCCAGGAACTGTTTTAAGTGCCCAATACAAGCCAACTTATTTAATGCACACAACAGTCCTGAGGTAGACATTGGCTGTATCCCTACATAGTTGGGGAAAATGGGCCAAGATTATCAGACATTTCAAGGGGCTCTTCCACTCACATACAGAACTGCTGCTATAATAGAAATTATCTCTGATAGTCTATAGATGGAATGACAAGTTTGCACAGAGGACAGCATAGGAAACAAGCCACACAGGATCTAGCACTGAGTTGATGTCACTGCAGATGTGGGCCAACTGTTTGCCAACTGTACAACTAAGAATACAAATTAATTGGTGTTATGTTCCTTGTAATGCTTAAGTCTTGTGATTCTAACCATCATTCTTAGCTCCTCCTTGGAGAGATACCAAGACCTCTGTTTGCCTGTCTCACAAATAATCATTTATCATTCAGCAATCAATCACTGAGCATTTTCTATGCTACAGAATGGCAAACTGTGGTCAGTCCCTACTGTTGGTTGAAAAGAAAATAGATTGAAATTGCAGCAAATCAGGTTTTATTTGGGAATAGTGCTGTGATGTGAAGACTGCACTGGGAATGTATGTGCCACAGTCAACTACAGGATATTTGATGAGGTTGAAAGGGATGTTTTTAAAAGTCAAAAATGAGAAGGATCATGTCGGATAGTTTGAAACAGAAATTATTGGTCACAATAATTAATAACAAGGGTGATATTGGTCCAAGGTTTAACACAGTTGCTGGGCATTGTTCTTTTACAAGTACTATTTGCAAAATGTTGCATTAACCTCTGTGTAAGCTTGTCGTTAGTTACTATCAGGCAAGTGTGTGTGTGAAAACTCTTCCTTTATAATCTCTTAGCTTCATTTACTTTTTGTTAGGGTTGACACAGATTACTCCGTTTTGGGTGTTTTTTTCTTTTCTTTTTTTGGTGGTACTGAGATTTGAACTCAAAGCCTACACCTTGAGCCACTCCACTAGTCTTTTTTTGTGAAGGATTTTTTCGAGATAGGGTCTCTCAAACTATTTGCCCAGGCTGGCTTCGAACCACGATCCTCCTGATCTCTGCCTCCTGAGTGGCTAGGATTTCAGGTGTGAGTCAACAGCACTCTGCTTCCATTTTGATTTTGACAACCTACACTACACAAAAAAGATTCATTTATCAAATGACACAAAAGAATAAAACAAATCTTTTCCCTGAATCTTTTTTGGATTATGGACTTACAGGACAACATGAAAACTGGAGTTGTCTCCCTATGAGGGAAGCCATTTGTACAAACAAAACAATTTTGCATACAATATGAAAAGTTGTTTACTGATCCTCAGAAATGAAACCATATACTATTTGTCAGTGACTTTCTCAGGTTCAGTTCTAATTTAGGCAAAAGAGAAAAACAAGTATGACTATAAGTTAGAACTCAGAAAGACACAAGCAGACATAAATTAAATGCCAGACATTGTGGGGAGCAATAATATTAATACTCAAGAGCTAATAAGAAGAATTTGAAAGCTGGGAGTGGTGGTGAATGCCTGTAATCCTAGCACTCGGGAGGCTGAAGCCTGGGCCACAATGAGACCATACTCAAAAAAATAAAACCACCACCACCAAAAAAAAAAAAAAAGTTTAGTATATGTCAGACACTACTCTACGCTTCATGCTTCTCCATTTGATACTCATTTAATCATATGAGGATATACTATACAGTCTCTGAGGTACAGAGTGGGCTGCCTGTAAGTCAGGCACAGAGAAGCCAAGCAGCATGCGAAGGTCTCTTAGCTGGTGACACAGGTGAGGTTTCAACCTGGGTACTCAGCTCTGAGCCACGAGGTTTGTTTATAGAAGACCACCTTTAGAAGGAGGGTTGCGTGGGCAGTGCTGTGTTTACTTCAGGAGCACACTTGCTCTAAATAATGCTGTGGGTCCTGCCTCCATCTCGTGGAGACCCTTCCCTGCTGTGTCCAAATGCCCAGTGTTCCTCTAGGTCTCCACATCCAGAGACTATTGTGTTAGGATGCGCAGAAGCCTTTCTCACCATGTCCTGAGTAGAACTAGACTCCAAACACCTTAAAATCAATAGGAAACCTTGCTAGCAGATGGTCCTCATGCTTCCTAGATTCTATTTTTAAATGTCTTACAATCACTTCAGCAACACTGAATAGACTACAAAACTCACTCACAATCCCATCATTTATCAAATTTTGTCCATTTATCTATAGGTTACTATTCTTTCTATTCAGTTCTTCCCACATGCAAATATAATTTAAAATGGATATACTAATAGTGTAAATGTGTCCTTTAATTGTTTATACTACAAGCATTTTCCTTGCTTCTGACCAAAATATGGTTTACGTAAGACACATAAAACATACTAAACTCTACTAAGTGTCCCAGAGGACAAACACAGTGAGGTACACAATGGTGTCCTCACTGCAGTACTAGTTTCTATCTCTTAGCATTGTAACTATAATAATTTTTTATTCTCACCAACTCTCCCTACAGTGGCACACAATTTATGTTTCTGAATAGAACAATGAAGTTGATTATATCTCAACTTATTTAATAGTTCTTTCTCAGATTCTAGCATTTAAGGTTTGGTCAAAAATGCTTCCTGACTGGGCAGGTATGGTGGCTCAAGCCTGTACTTCCAGCTCTTCGAGAGGCAGAATGGAGAAGGGAATTGCAGATTGAGGTGAACCCAGGCCAAAGTTAACAAGAGCTCATCTCAATCAATAAGCCAGGCATGGTGGCATGCACCTGTGATCCCAGCTATGTGGCTAGAATAGGTAGGAGGATCACAGTCTGGGACTGGCCCCAGGCAAAAATGCGAGAGCGGGAAAGCAAAAAGGGCTGGGGGTGTGTGGCTCCAAGTGGTAGAGTGCCTGGCTCACAAGTGAAAGGCCCTGAGTTCCAACCCCACTATCACCAAAAAATAATACTCCCAGAGTGATTACTTTAGTAAGAATTTGCAGAAAGAAGAAAACTTGATGTGTCTGTCTACTGAAATGAACTTTGTGGGGTTTTCCTCCCTTCAAGACCAATTCTATGGTGCACAATAGAGTGGTAACCAGAATGAAAGCATTTCCATGTAGATTCCATTTGTACAGCATCTCTCTAGGAACTCTGCAATACACAATAAAGCTACTGCTCTTAGTAAAGGATGGTCTGCTTTCATTACCTTAGTAAGTGCTTTGTCTGGTATAATTTGTCTGGTATCTAACAAGACCAGGGCTACTGACCAGTGCTGTCCCACACTGGTTACATGTGAAGAACTGCTCCCCGGTGTGAGCTATCTGGTGGACTATAAATGGAGAATGCTGGCTGAAGATAATGTCACACTGATTACACTTATAGGCATCCTCTCCAATGTGAATCCTCTGGTGCTTAATAAGGTCATTCTTCCGGATGAAGGCTTTCCCACACTGACAACATTCATAGGGTTTCTCTCCAGTATGAATTCTCTGATGTACAATGAGGGCAGAACTCTGACTGAAGGATTTTCCACAATCATGGCATTCATATGGTTTCTCTCCAGTGTGGGTTCTCTGATGTGAGAAAAGGTGAGAGCTTCGACTGAAACATTTTCCACAATCTTTGCACTCAAAAGGTTTCAGTCCAGTGTGAATTCTGTGATGCACAACAAGATGAGACCTCTGGCTGTAAGACTTCCCACATTCATTACATTCATAGGGCCGCACTCTGACATGAGTTCTCTGATGTAGAATGAGGTGTGTGCTCTGTCGGAATGACTTCCCACACTCAGGACACTCATAGGGTTTTTCTCCAGTGTGAGTCCTCTGGTGCCTAATCAGTCGGGAGCTATGAACAAAGGACTTCCCACACTGATGGCAGGTGTACAGCTTATCTCCTGTGTGTGTCCTCTGGTGGGTAACAAGATGAGAGAACCAGCTGAAGGACTTTCCACACTCTTTGCATTCATAGGGCTCCTCACCAGTATGAGTTTTTTGGTGTCCAATGAGGTGGGAACTCCGGCTGAAGGATTTTCCACATTCTTTACATTCATAGGGCTTCTCTCCAGTGTGAATAAGCTGGTGCCTGGTAAGATTAGAGCGCCAGCTGAAGAATTTTCCACATTCCTTACATTCATAGGGCTTTTCTCTATGTATGCCCTTTGATATGTCAAGGGATGTACCACAAGAAAGAGAGCTGTCATTATCAGGGCATTTGTAGGATTTATCTCCTCTGTGAGTTCTTGCAAACTGAATAAGGTGAATGTTTTGACATAAGGTTTGACCACATTCGTTACTGCTGGTGGCACAGCTTTCCTGATGCCCACTAAATTCTAAGTCATGTTTTAAACTTTTAGTATGTGATCCACCTTTATGGAAATACTCCCTCAATATGATCTGAGCAGGAAGAAGACAGCTTCCCTCACTTTTATGCTCACAGACCTTTTCTTGATCAAGTACTTTCTTCTGGGTGAATGTCACTTGTCTCAAGTGTCCCTCCTGATTTTCTTGATATTTGCTCATCTGGTTTCCACACTTCCAGACATCTTCTAATGACAAATACCAGAGGTCATCCCTTGCTATTCCTTCCTCTTTAATGGCATAGGTTTGTTTATCTTTAGAAGTGCTCTTACTAGAAACCGATGCTTTAATTTCAGCTGCAATCTCTAAATCTGAAAGAAAGAAAAGTGCTCTGTGTATTCAGGTAAGATGATGGGCTGTTTACAAAGCCAACGAAGGGAAAAGGTGTACATTGCTTTCAAATACAATTTTATAACTGCAGTAGAGAAGGAGAAAGGGAAGGAAGGATAAAACAGCAAGCAGTAAATGCACGGACTGTGTACACAAGAGGGAAGAGACAAGAAAGAAGCCACAGGTCTGAGCATGTACACGTGGGGTCAGGAAATTCAATGGTGGGGGTAGCAGTAAGGGTAATCCTACAGAAAGGGCTTCAGTCCCATTTCCTAATCAAAATATTTTTTTAAATATTTTTAAAATATTAATATGAGATGCATATAACCTGTGCACCTGTTGTCAGGCCTTCCTGACACTTCTTCATACTACTGCCGAGTTAATGGCCTTAAAACATGAACCTGACCACATGTGGTGATGCCTTTTATCCACATTACCAAAGCACTAGAAAAAGGCCCAGAAGGCTGACAATAGCCCTCTCAGAAGGAATGCAGGGTAAATTGGAAGAGCAACCACACCACCGTCTCCAGATGCAGGTCTAACTAAAGTGTTATCACTGCTGTGGATGAATTTAGACCAGTTCTAAACCCTCTAAAATCCACTTTGCTCACGTATAACCCAAGTACGATAATATCTGTTGTGTAAGATTACTGTAACATTATATGAAATGGTAGCCTATTATAGTCTTTGTTACATACATGGTCAAAGCAATACTATTCATAACATCAGTATAATTATTTCTATTTCCTATTTTGATTCCTTTGTTCTGAGACATTATTTTTGTTTTGAATGTCAGTGTTCTCCAAAGGTCATGTGTTAAAGGTTTGGTTCCCAGTGTAGCACTATTGGGAGATCATGGGACCTTTAACAGGTAGGGACTACAGAGAGGTCCTTAGGTCATTTGGGACGTGCTCTTGAAGAAGATAATGGGATTCTAGCTCCTTCCTCTTTCTCTTTGCTTCCTGCATGAGGCACCATTCCTGATTCTGAATTTATATACTACTGATAAGTATTATTTTCTTATGCTTATTCACACATAAGTACCTAACATTTAAAAAAAATGACTTGCCATTAATACAGTGAAAAAGTGGGATATACAGCATCTTCTTGCTAAACTCCCTGTGAAAACCTTCCACACCCTCATGTCTATTCACTGCTGCTACCATGCTCTTCAAGAAGGTGCCAGACATTGGACTTTGAGCACATGATAAAAGCGAGAGCACACAAGGGAGGGGTGAGGATAGGTAAGACACCTAAAAAATTAGCTAGCAATTGTTGCCCTTAACACAGAGAAACTGAAGCAAATACCTTAAAAGCAACTGAGGCCAATAGGAAAAGGGGACCAGGAACTAGAGAAAAGGTTAGATCAAAAAGAATTAACCTAGAAGGTAACACACACGCACAGGAAATCAATGTGAGCCAATGCCCTGTATAGCTATCCTTATCTCAACCAGCAAAAACCCTTGTTCCTTCCTATTATTGCTTATACTCTCTCTACAACAAAATTAGAAATAAGGGCAAAATAGTTTCTGCTGGGTATTGAGGGGGTGGGGGGGAGAGGGAGGGGGCGGAGTGGGAGGTAAGGGAGGGGGTGGGGGTAGGGGGGAGAAATGACCCAAGCCTTGTATGCACATATGAATAATAAAAAAAAAAAGGTGCCAGACACTGGTGGCTCACACATGTAATCCTAGCTACTTAGGAGGCAGAGATTAGGAAAATCAAGGCTTGAAGCCAGCCTGGAGAAATCATTCTTGAGACCCTACCTTGAAAATACCTGCTGGTGGAGTGGTGGTACAGCACCTTCCTAGCAAGCGTGAGGCCCTAAGTTCAAATGCTGGTACCTTCCCCAGAAAAAACAAAAGCAGGCATGTTTAAGCTTGGAATGGTGCCACAAACCTGAAAATTCAAGTACTTGGGAGACTGAGGCAAAATGTTTGCAAGTTTGAGGCCAACCTAGGCAACACAGTGAAACTTAGTCTCAAAAAAAATTGTTTTTTATATTGACTCTTCATTGATCTAAGGATACCTTGGTTATGTGACTAAAGTAATAAAGTCGTATCTGGGGAAATTACATGGCATAAACAAGTCAAAATAAGTACAATTTTTCCTCTCTCAGAAACAAGAAAATGCAAAGGGAGCCATGATCCTATCACAAGAGGCTCCAGCCCCTCGAAGACCATCTGGGCTGCTGCCTGTGACAGCTCCTGTCTGTCCTCACCTGGGAATGTCTTATGGTGAATCCCTCTCTCCACCAGCCAGGGCTCTTCCCCTTTCTCCAAACGGAGGATCACATCTGGCTTAGGAAGCAGATGCCCTGTTCACATGAGAGACAAAGGAGTACATAAGACTAGGAGAGCTCCAGGGTAGACACAAAGAAGAATCCTAGATCTCACCCATCTATACCCACTTCACATATGAGGATGAAGAGTAAACAAATGAAATACAAAGTTTTAAAAACTCAACAAAACAAAGTTGGGCACAGGTGGCTCATGCCTGTAATCCTAGCAACTTGCAAGGCTGTGATCAGAAGGATCAAGGTTCAAGGCCAACCCATGGGAAAAAAGTCTGCAAGACCCCCCATTTCCAAAATAGCCAGAACAAAATGGACTGCAGGTTTAGTTCACAAGGTAGAGCACCTGCTTTGCAAGCTCCAAGCCCTGAGTTCAAACCCCAGACCCACCAAGAAAAAAAAAAAAAGAAGGAAACTTCAACAAAAGTTTTCCCATAAAAGCAGGAGTTATGAAAGCCCTGCCATATGCCCCAAAGACAGAACCCCAAGTCCACCCCACACTCTGGTATATGCCTCAGGCGTTGCACCTTCTGTTCAGTGAAAAAACAAAATCACCATGGTGACCTCTTCAAAAACAGATGTCAGTCTGTCTTACCCAAGGAAACCAGATTCTTATAGTTCTCCAACATCACGTCTTTGTATATGACCTGCTGAGCAGCGTCCAGCAACTTCCACTCCTCCCTGGTGAAGTCCACAAGTACATCTCTGAAGGTCACTAGTGTCTACAACATCAAATGAATTTGCACTGAGTCAGAAGCATACCTTTACCCTCCCTTTCCTGAATCCTGACAGGCAAAAGCTGGGTGACAACACTGGAGTGAAAAGAGCACAGGGACCAGAATGTACCTGAGGACTTAGTGTGTTTATGTTGAAGGGGTTTTGGTAAAGACTCCTAGGTATGTACTATCTAAAAACAAGGTCCACATTGTGCTTTAGATTAAGAAACTGTCAGGAGCATTTTTATTTAAATCAAGTTTATGTTAAACACCTATTAGAGAAAGAACCAGATACCAAAAGTTAATTCGTGTGAAATTCAGAACCCTTTTTAAGGCAGGAAAACAGGAAGAGAAGTACTTTAATGCTAAGGCACTTAACAGTCGAGCCATGGGTTTTTGGGTTTTTTAGGAGGAGGGGGAAGCACTGGGGTTTGAACTTAGGGTCTCATGCTTGCTGGGCAGGCACTCTACTACTTGAGCCACTCCACCAGCCCTTTTTGGGGTTGAGTATTTTCCAAGGTAGGGTCTTGAGAACTCAGGCTAACTTCGAACCACAATCCTCCTGATCTCTGCTTCCTGAGTAGCTAGATTACAGGTATGAGCCACCAGTGCCCAGCTCAAGCCATGTTTTTAAAAATTTGTTTATTTATTTATTTATTTGCAGTACTGAGGTTTGAGCTCAGGGCCTCCACCCTGAGCCACTCCACCAGCCCTTTTTTTGTGATGGGTTTTTTCAAGATAGGGTCTCACAAACTATTTGCCCAACTGGCTTCAAACTACGATCCTCCTGATCTCTGCCTCCTGAGTAACTAGGATTACAGGCATGAATCACCAGTGCCCAGCTCAAGCCATGTTTTATGACATAAAATAATTATCCAAACATTTTCCCCAAGCTTCGATATAAAAATGGAGAAGTTAGGAGATCACATTGATTATATTTTAGTAGCAGTAAAACAATTTGACAAAGAAATAAGAGATACAGATGTAAGGCTTTTATTAGCTTATGTGAAAAAGACGTGTTGATTACATACAGAAAAAAACCCATTTGGGTGACTGAGGATTTCGCATCAAAGACCACCAAGTTAGAAGACAGAGGGAAAAATGAATGCATGCTTTTCAATGTGAGAAAACACCTATTGAGAATTTCTACATCCAATGAAAATACCTTTCAAAATGATGCAAAACAGAGACATTTGGAAATGAAGTGAAAACCAACAGAATTTGTCCCCAAATGATCTCTGGAAGGTGGGTAGAGGAAATTCTTCAGGAAGATGAGGAATGACACTAGAGAAACCTGAAATCTTAGGCCTTAAGGGTGAACACCAAAAGCAAGAGACAGCTGGTATGTTCAACAGATTATTTTTCCTTTTAAATTCTTCAGAAATGCATAGGATCCAGGAGCAAGAAGCTCAGGGGTACTATTGCATAGCGTGGTGACCACAAGATAACAAAAATTCACCTCCCCAAAAAGCTAAATGAAAGGGTTTTGACAGTTTTCACTATAAAAAAGATGTTTGAGGAGATAAATATGCTTGACCTGATTTACACATTACATGATTATGCATGAATCAAATGTTACATGGTACCCGCTACTATGTACAACTTTCCTGTTTTTTTTTTCTTTTATTATTCATATGTGCATACAAGGCG